CTAAGGAGATTATGGAGTTGCGCTCTGGTTGTCGGCCTGGAGTGGCCTCACCAGGGCGCAAAGCCTGGGTAGGTTGATTCGGGGGAGAAGCTGATGGCATTCTGGCTTGATGGCTTGTACTAACTGAAGCACCTGTAGCAAGCTGTGAGAGGGGTGTCGGGGCCGTTGATATTGAAACAGCAAATTATATTTTTTGCTGTTTTTCTGCCATGTTCCCCCTTTTTTATTTTTATATTGTCTCAACACATTTTATACTTTAATCTCAATTAGTATTAAGTTTTAGTCTTTAGTGTTTTTCCTGCCCGAAACGCTTTGCGTAATAGTGGTTTTAGACATTGTATGTACTAGCTCTATCTATAAATTCAGCAATATTTGTATCACCCCTTGTATGTATGTACTTTACCTGAATAAACATTTGAATTTGAAACGTTGCTCTGAATCCGTTTACAGGATTACGTTTCCTCGCCCTGGCCTCCAAAAACCTGCAGGCGATGAGTCACAATAACGTGGCTGAAGTATGTTGACCAGACCACACACTAGAAAGTGAAGGGACGACGTCGTTTCGGTCCGTCCTGGGCCATTCTCGAGTCGATTGTGGAGCACCTGATCCCCGTCTTAGAGGATGGGGTCGAATATTGGGTGCACAATGAAACGACGTCGTCCCTTCACTTTCTAGTGTGGTCTGGTCTCCAAAAACCTGGTTGACTAGGTTATTGGGCGCTGTCTGACGCAGGAATCACTGCCTGAATAATCAGGCACCTTCCTCTCTGCATATGCTCTACGTCAGCAAGCTTAGAATGGTGGTACGGGTGTGCAGTAATATTCCACTTTTATTAGTACTAGTCCTAAAAAGTACCATCGTACTTTTAAGGCCCGGTAGACACGCTTCAAAAAGGCAAAAATTTTGCTAGTACAAAAAAATGTATGTACTAGCTCTATCTATAAATCCAATATTATGTTTGTAACTAATCATCTGTGTATGTACTTTTACCTGAATAAACATTTTGAATTTTTGGAATCATTGGAGTGTCATCTGCCGTTTAAAAGGTTCTTGTAATCCAGCCTGTCATTGTCAAAGACTAGTAGCTGGATATTATAGTAAACGGCGCCACACACTCTCCCCTTGTGTGTGACACCTCAACAAATTCGCTATTGATTAGTTGAAACTTGTAACTGTTTCGTTGACAGTGATTATAATTCCTCGTGACTTTTGTGGACATTTTTTTTGAAAGAACATTAGCCAGATTTTCTTGTTGTAGACTGTTATGAATGTTATTGACTTGGAATATATCAGGGGGTATACTGGTGTTCAGCACGAGACATAGTCATTGACGTAGTGGTAATCAATACAGCCGTGTTTAGCTGGTTACTGCATGCCACTCTCTAGGTAGAGGCCGGACGTCTCCCCCGTCACCTGGGAGTAACGCCTTTCCGTGGGTGTTGGGGGAAGACGGTTGTGGGGCTTGCCAGCTCTTCTACCGCTGTAATAGGTAGCAGCTCTGTGGTCGTGTTGGGTCTACCTTGTGGCTACCTTGTGGAGGTTCGGTCTCCGGTCTGCCACCAGGCCTCTCAGTTGGTTGGCTTGGTCCTGTTGGACGCATGACAGTCTGGTTGATCAGGTCTCCGTTCCTGTGTGTGCTACAATTGTTATGATGTTCTGTTGTATTTATACGGTGTCAGTGACCCCGTAGTTAAGGTGCCACGAATATTATATATAATCACATCTCTGCGGGGTCACGACACGCTATCTTGTCTTCCACTTTTTGTGTATTTGGGGTGAGGAGGGGGGGGGGGGTGTTAAGGCGGGGATGTTGGGGGTTCGTGGGTGTATGGGGGGGGGGTTGCGCCTCTGTTTTTTTTTTTTTTTTTTTTTTTTTTTTTTTTTTTTTTTTTTTTTTTTTTTTTTTTGGTTCCGAGTAGCTGAATCTAAAACACCTCTGCTTACTGAGTTGCGATTATTAAGGAAGAGATCTAGATTTCTAGTTTTGACTGCTTCTGTGCTTAGTACATTTATACCGTTTGACTTGCCAATATTCTGGCATATTTGCTCTTTAAACTGTGAATGGTGGTTGCTTCCATCACATTTGAATCCCTACAACTACCACCTTGACTTTAATGGGGGTTTGCTTGATTCCCGCAGACTATTAGCGAGCGTCTTCGCCAACATAACTCATGACGAGTTGGTTTGTTCATACTAAACTGGTTGCTGGGGAAGGGGGGCGTGACTAGCTTTCTATGGCTTTATACCACTGGTGTGTTTTCCGTACATGAAGGTCCGTGTATTCCTAGCTTGCTTCCAACACCGTGTTGGGCACCTTGGTGATTAGGGGCTCTGGGAAGTGACGGTTAATGTCACAGTTGTATGCCTTCTTTGTCATCTACCCCTGAGGCTTGTATGCTGGGCGAGCACAAGTCTAACTCCTCCAGGAAGATGCCCATGGGACAAGCTCTGTGATACTGTTTAATTTCAGAATGCGATCCCCTCCTGTTTGGGAATAGAGCAGGTCAAGTCTGCCCTCTGAACGGCTGTAGCTGACAAGCTCTCGCCAAAGAGTTTCCAACATTCCCGATGACCGAAGTGATGCCAGGTCTATATATATATATATATATACATTGTGTACGTGGGAAAAATTACTAGAACTGGGCCAGTTTCATGTCGGTAAATCCATGACTGGTTTGTAGGTAGAAGCCCAGAATACCAATGCAGACTAATGTTGCCCTTTTTGAGAGGTCTATTCTCTACAACTGGCAGGTTGTGAAGGCCGACATGTGTGAAGAAAGAGTTAAACTAACATTTGCTCACTTCGTGGCAGCAGGGTATAGGCTCCCAATATAGCATGATCCTTCCTAACTTACATAGACGTTATCACTGTCAAGCCTATGGAGAAGTTACGGGTTTAGTCCCCCCCCCAAAAAAAAAAAATGAAAGGTAGGACCATTGTCCTCCCTTAGACTTAGAGAGGATATTAATCAATAAGTCAGCTAAAATACCTGATCAACTAGGCTGTGATTTATACGTTGGGCTGCGAGCAACCGCGTCCAACAGCCTGGTTGATCAGACGACCAACCAGGAGGACTGGTCGGAAACCGGGCCGCGGGGCTGTTGTTCTCTGGAAGCTACACGAGGTAGGTAGCCTTCTAATGACAGCACGTTACGTCTCTTGAACTGAACGATGACTGTACGATTTTTTTTCTTAATTTTACGGATTCTTGAAATTCGAAATTTTGCGTTGGTTGATTTTTGTTATGGTATTCATCGCTTCAGAGGGCTAATAACCACGTGGAGGAGGTTGAGGTCAATATTATCAGTTTAGAGGGCAGGAGAGACTTAAGATATGTTGCCACTTCCTCTCCTTTCCCCACCCTTCTCAGCATACAATTTTCTATAAATAGTTTCACTGTATTATCTTTCGTGCATCTCGTACTCAATTATCTTAACTACATGAATTATTCCCCCTCCTGCTTTTTACTTTCCAGCTCTGATAACCTCTTAGCAGAGTGCTTGCTTCCTGCCGCACGAGTTCTCCTCCGTAATGGCCCCTATTTGCTTACATATTTTCTTTCCACCTTTTCATTTCTTGTTCTGTTCCTTAACAAATTCTTTGTTTTTTTTGTTAGTATACTGGCTTGGTCACCTCGGGTTCTTCACTTGTTTCATGTCCCTTTCTCTCCCTGAGGCGCCATCTTTCAATTTACTGTATAGTAATTCCTTGCACCAGATGCGTGACACAGAGGCGATATGATCTCACGCTGCTGTGTTGTTCCTTTTGTATTGGCACCGCTCTGCTGCGGTGAATGGCATATGGGTGTGCTCGCCAGCACTCGTGCCACTCGCCAGCTTCCCAAGCACAATACTAAAGGCGGTGGATGCTTGTAAATTCCCCTTCACGTACTCCTTGCTCTCTAGGTTTGTTTACTTTTTAGCTTGTTACTAGTTTATTAGTTCAGTTCCTCGAGGTGGAGGGGTATCTGACCTGCCTTAATTATCCAGCTCTTGCCTTGTGTCCTAGTCAGGTCACACACCCCAGCACACTGGTTACAGTCACACAATTCTGTAATCATCATTTCTATTTTGATTCAGTAACTATTTTTCTGTTGTTGTTTGCCTCTAATTCAGTCGCTTGTGAACTGTGGTAGTGTTACAGCTTGAGTTTATCGCTGCTTAATATACAAACTGCGGAGCACCCCGACCCATCTGCCCTTCCGGGTTAATTAGATATTGGCGTTTCGCGCACCCATTCCAGTCGGTGGAAGGAAGGTTCGAGTCGTGTGACACTAACCCGCTTTGGAAAAGTAGGTTAAAGGTCATTGTGGAGATGGTGTGTTGCAGTGTTCATACTTGTATCTAAACACTTTGATCGTAGCAGTTTGAGATGAGCATTCACGTTGCCAAACGGGATTTATCTGGGGATTAGATTGATGACTCTCTAGGCCAGGCATTTACTACTAGGTTATGCAGAGGGTAGAAATAGCCTAAGCTACTCTATCCATTTTTTATATATTTTATGGTCTCGATAAACGTCCTTGAACTAGTTTAAACAGTAAGTTTTTGCTTCACCTTGATAGAGAGAGAGAGTGGTGGTGAGTGAAAGACTGCTGACAAGAGGATTAGCTCTTGTCACTCTTGAGAATTATTTACTCACATTGTGTGTTGATTTTGTCCCGTCTTCCTGTAATTATCGAAGCTTGCAAGTCATTTAAAGTACTGCTGAAGTTAACATGGCTAGGGAATATGAAGTACTTCATTGTAATTGGAATCTTAATAGTTGTGTATAAATATTATAAGTTTCTTCTGTTATTTACGGGTGGTACACAAAATTATAGGCTAGTAGATACAATCCTCAGAATTGGAAGGCTAACAGTAGCCAGTTGTATATACAGTATATATAAATGACGTATGGAGGTTATTTTACATATTGTAGGTATAGGCATTTTGAGGTTCATAATGCACGTAGAAATTTTGATGTTTTCAGTTTAATGCATATCAATTAATATTGCAGATCTCGACGGCAGAGCGGCAAGTGTTCGACTTCCTGGGGTACATGTGGCTCCCCATCATCGCAAACTTCTTCAATTTCATCTTTGTGATATTCGGCTTTTTCGGCGCTTACCAATACAAACCCAAGTATATTATCATTGTGAGTATCGACTGCAGCAAGTCTGTAACACTGTGGGGTTAATTGCCAGCTAGTTGATGGGTTCATAGTATATGTACAAGGGGGGCACATGGCCAATTTTTAAGATGCACACAAGGTAGGTGTTAAAATGACTAGTAGGCAGTGACTCGGCATTTAGTGCAATTTCAGCTATATAATTCTTAGTTGAATTATTATATCTCGAGAAAACCACCAACTAATTGTTATTGAATGTAAATATCACAGCATGGGCTATCCTAGTCTCAAATAAAATATCTCTAATATCCCAAGATAACCACTGGTTAGTTGTGACTAAACATCTAGAAAATCGTAAACGTGGTGCCAATATTAAAGGAATCGGACAGGAAGGCCCCAAGTTACAGACATGTCACTGACTTGTATCCCCGTGCAGAGTGCTTGGAACATACCTGGAAAGGGTTCTGGGAGTTCTACTCTGAGCTTGGCCCGAGGCCAGGCTGGACTTGATAACTTGGTCCAACACTGTTGCTTGGAGTGGCCCACAGGCCCACATATCCACTACAGCCTGGTTGGTCTGGCACTACTTCAAGAACTAGCCAAGTACTGGGGGGCCTCGCCACTGTAATTACCTAAGTGTAGTTACAGGATGAGAACTACTCTCGCGGTGTCCTGTCTTCCTAGCACTCTGTTATATAATGCTTTGAAATTACTGACGGTTTTGGCCTCCACCACCTTCTCACCTAATGTGTTCCAATGTCTACCACTCTGTTTACAAAACTGAATTTTCCTATATTTCTCCAGCAGCTTTGTTTTGTTAGTTTAAATCTATGACCTCTTGTTCTTGGAGTTCCGGGTCTTGGGAATTCTTCCCTATCAATTTTATCGATTCCTGTTACTATTTTGTATGTAGTGATCATATCGCCTCTTTTTCTTCCATCTTCTAGTTTTTGCATATTTAAGGCCTCTAACCTCTCCTCGTAGCTCTTGTCCTTCAGTTCTGGGAGCCACTTGGTGGCATGTCTTTGCACCTTTTCCAGTTTGTTGATGTGTCCATATCTTAATATATGGGCACCAACTGCTACATATTCCAGCTTTGGTCTAACAAAAGTCCTGAAATACACTGTGTATGTGTGCGTATGTATCACACAATAAGCTACAATATTCACTGCTACTTTTAACTTTACAGCATCATTTCAGAAAATTAAATTTATATAAGTACAGTAATGTATTGTTCTTCCTACAGTACCTAGTATGGCAGCTGATATGGGTCGGATGGAATACATTCGTCATCTGCTTCTATCTGAATATTGGCATTCTCGACAACAGCAAAGACTGGCTCAACTTTGGAACTGGGAGTGCTTCATGGTGGGAGGTCAGGGATTGATTTGATTTCTTTGTGCTTAATAAAAATTAGTAAAGCTAATTTTGATTGTTACATTTGAAAACATGTTCTCATAATACTAAATACCTGTAGTATTAAAATACAATTTACGATTTGTCAGTTTTGTATACTGTTTAGGTTTAACTTTACAGCCCCTTGGATTTTTGACATTGTAATACAGTATTTCTAACTTGAAGATATTAAGCCAGTTTCTTCAATACCAGTACTGTATGTGAATCCTCTTCAGGTGAATGGGATTGGATGTCAAGCAGTGTATACAACTAACCTGACAAACCTAGACCCCCTACGACCAATGCGACCCTTAGAGGTCAATAACTGCCTCGTTGATTATATTTACGTGGAAACTATTCACGCTGGTATCCAGTGTGCTTTTGCGGTAAGAATAGTTAATTTACGTTGAAATGCAGTATCCACTCAATTTAACGGCCTATATGGGCTGTACCCTAGTCGTTATTTCCGGAGCTCCGTTATTTCCGAAGTTAAGTCGGGTCGGGTAATTTTTCAAGTAACATTCAGGTAGGATATATTTTATACTGTATAACTAAAATTAAATAAAGTTCATTGTGTAATTGCATTCCAATTTAGTGCACGGCCGACGATTAAGCCAGTTGCTGGCTGCTGCATGGATGATGTGTGAACACGCTCTGATCAAGTCCAGATGGGTGGGAAAAAATTGATTCATTCCTTTGTATTGCAAAATATTTCATGTATCAATCAGTGAGTTAATATTGTCTTAATAAAATTTTAGAGATGTGTTTTGATTTACCCTGAACAGTGCAGGTAATGTATTTTTAATGTTACGACACAGGCTGTGGCGGCCATGCCATAACAATGGCGATCGAGCCTTGTCACTGAGAGCTAGCCAAGACGAAATATTTTGAGTTCACCTTTTCTCTGCTGACGATAGAATATACATTTGCAGAGACTAATATGTAACTTTTGTTGAAAAAAAAAAAAATTAATATCTTGTAATACTATAATAAAATTGGTAAATTGACTTACTTTTAATGAAGCTGAAGATTACGAAGCTGTGATGATTACGTCATCCTCTGCAGCGCTTGTTTTATATTGTTTATATTGTATACAGGGTACATACTGTATGTACACTTATTTTCAGGCACTCACTTCACACAACAGCTAGCCTTACTACTAATTCACATGAGTTCTAATTCTACTTCACTATTGACAATTATTTCTACTGTATATTTACACTGTACAGTATCTTTTTGTCTAGGCTTAATTAATCATTAACACTTACAATACTGTACTCTATCAACACTTTTTACACTAATTTATATGCCTTTCAATCATATTTTATATCGTTAGTGGATGACTTGTCACGACTTGTTGGTGGGAATTCAGCATCGGCGGGTGCAACATGGCTTGTAGAGCATTCGTTGCTGGCGGATGTTCCACGACTTGTCGATGGGAATTCAGCATCGGCGGGTGCAGCATGGCTTGTAGAGCATTCATTGCTGGCGGATGCTCCACGTCTTGTCGATGGGAATTCAGCATCGGCGGGTGCAGCATCGCTTGCAGAGCATTCATTGCTGGCGGATGCTCCACGTCTTGTCGATGGTAATTCAGCATCGGCGGGTGCAGCATCGCTTGCAGAGCATTCATTGCTGGCGGATGCTCCACGACTTGTCGATGGTAATTCAGCATCGACGGGTGCAGCATCGCTTGTCGACGAAGATTTTTCACGACCCGTTGAAATCATGAATTTATCTATTTTTGTCTGAATCTGATTTTCTCTGGCTAACATACTTTGAGACATTGCTTTAAGGCTGTAAGGTGTACATACAAATTTCCAATAACCTCATGTTTACTTTTTATTGAATATTCAATGAGTTCCTCAACTTGTTCCAATCTTTTCTGATATCCGACACCTCTAGGCAGAGCCTCACCAACATCGTCCGAGTCATCATCAGAGTCATCAGAGTCATTTCCGAGAACACTTTGCGCAATCTGTTCTTCAGTTAACAATTCATAACCAGGATCGTAATCATTTTCTAACCATTCATTGATATCATTCACTTGTACACCCTGACCAGCTTGGAGCAACATTGTTCGGATCGTTTCTTCAAACCCTTCAAAATCATTGGCTTCATTTTCAAAACCTTCGAATTCACTATCAGATACTGCTGCTTCACATCTAGGCCTCTCTGTTAAGTTTCTAACATGAATTTGTTAGTGTGGTTTCTTTCACTTTATTCCAAAGCCTAGCCTAGTGGAATGTTGCTTCCCTGATTGTGTACTTTTTTAGATTTTCTAGTGTTCTTTGAGCCCTTGTATCCTTTCCTGTCAATTCATCTTCCTCGCTAGGTAAAACAACTAAAACATCTTCAAGCATTGCTGTTTGGTACATACGTTTAGCAGCAAGGATAACACCTTGGTCCATGGGCTGGATCAAGGATGTTGTGTTTGGTGGAAGTGCCATGCATTTTATTCTGCCATCCCTTGAAATTAACTTGCTAATGGGATGAGCAGGGGCATTATCTAGCAGCAACAATGCCTTAACCTCACTGGCCTTTATTCCACATTTGTTGATCTGGAATTCCCTGACTTCTTTGCAAAAGTGGTTTTCAAACCAGTCCGTAAATATTGTTTGATTAAACCATGATTTCTTAGAATTGTAATATATTACAGGTAATGCCTGCATTATATTTTTTAAGGCTCGAGGATTTTTAGACTTGCCTACCACGGCACATTTTGTCCTGTGAGAGGCATCAGCATTAGCACAGAGCAAGACTGAGAGCCGTTCCTTGCTTATCTTTCGTCCAGGAATATTTTCCTGCATCCTACTGGTTAAGGATGTACTTGGTACAGCTCGCCACATAAACCCAGTCTCGTCAGCATTATATACTTGATATTTGCTTAAATTATTACTGACAATGTACTCGTTTAATTTAGCCTTGAATGAATCAACATTAGTGGGATCAGCACTTGACGCCTCGCCAGAATTTTTTTTGGTGTTTGAAATGTTATGCCGAGCCTTAAATCTTCCAACCCACCCATCACTTGCATTGAAATCTTTTATACCTAATTGAATGGCAAGTTTACTTGCTGCAACTTTAAGCTCTTCAAATCTTATTGCCATGCCAATTGTGTGGTGCTGAATAAACCACTTATACACTGCAGCATCCTATTGTGGATACTGACCAGACTTTACTGTTTTTCTCGAACATGCAGCACCAGAAGTAGCACACTCTGTTGTGCTCACATATTTTAATAGAGTATCCTTCTGTTTCTTGATGTCACTTACTGTACTTTTCCCGATGTTAAACTCTGCTGCTGCTCGTGCATGAGAATATCCTTTATCAAGTTTCTTAATTAACTCCAGCTTCTGTGCAACCGTCAGGCGCTTCCTTTGGGTAACTTTTGGCATTTTGTAAATTAAAAAGATCACAATTACAGTACAGTAATATCCTTCACAATTGAAGCTAGCCGCACGAGTTCACGGTAAACAATGGGAACACATGGCCCGGCGGAGTATATTCTAGGTCCGCGGGAAAAAAAATACCTAGTGCCTATACTATAAAAGGTATTTAATAAGAAAACAAAGACTTTTGCTTAATAAAAACTGTTTCAAAATATTTTATTAATAATAATTTACTATTTTCTTCATTAAAGTGAATCATTTTAAAAGAAAATTAAGATGTAATATATGACTGGACGATCCAGGTCGGTGGCGGCCTGGGGCCAGATTCACGAAAGCACTTACGAACGTGTACATCTTTCCTCAATTTTTGACGGCTTTGGTTACATTTATTTAACTCTTTACAAGCATGAAAACTTCCCAATCAACTGTTGTTATTGTTATAAACAGCCTCCTGGTGCTTCGGAGCTCATTAACTGTTTAATAATTGTAAACAAAGCTGCCAAAGATTGAGAAAAGATGTACAGGTTCGTAAGTGTTTGCGTAAGTGCTTTCGTGAATCTGGCCCCTGGTCGCCATGTGAGGGGACGCTGATGCCACAACAAACCCAATACCGACCGTCGGTAATATCGACCACAGACCGGCATAGCAGGCTCTAGATACCGGTCTCCCAAACCGGTCGTTAATACCGGCAGATCGGTATAAAAGAGGTCGTGAAATTGAGTGGATACTGTGTTTAATTAAAACATTTTTTTTTTTTACATGTGATACAGTACAATACGTTTTCATATACTGTAAATGGACTATTGGTAATATCACATGGAAATTAAGTACAATAGTGTATACCTGTGTTTAATTAAAACATTTTTTTTTTTTACATGTGATACAGTACAGTACATTTTCATATACTGTAAATGGACTATTGGTAATATCACATGGAAATTAAGTACAATAGTGTATACCTGTAATGTACTATAAAGTGGTATGACTAGCACAATTACATCATTTTATTACAACAGTTTATTTAATCATTCAAGTGTTAATGTAGTTGTTATTAAACAAAAATTCATTGGGCCACTTGGTTTCATGAAGTTTTTTTTAACTTTTGTGCTGCAAGTTTTAATATTACCGGCCTGTTAATTATCATTTGGTATTTCAGACATTTGGATTGTGTGTGTCCATTTACCTTATAAAGATCTTCTCCGAAGAGGACGACAGCTGTAAGTAATCATTTACAACTACTATTTTACTATTAGCCAAGTAACTTGTCACTAGCAAAAAATTCATATACTGTTTTTTAAAAAGTTAAAGCCAAGTACAGTACAGTAGTTAGTAAATGGAGACACATTACATTACGGAATTAAGATTTAAATTTATTGAGTTAGATTGTGTTGTGCATTATTTTTTGAACAACTGGTGGAGTCTTAATATTCTTGGCAGCTTACAAACTTTCATGGTCTTGCAGTCGACTTTATAGGCGGGTTTGAGCAGGGAGTGACTGGTAACATGGCTGTTCAGCCCACATATGCCAGGTATTACTGCCTTTCTGGAGTCCCAGTGTCTTTGGGTTGTTCCCAGTCTCATGGGCCTCCCATCCTGCATGGCTGCCACCACCACCACCACCATCATTACCATCAGCCCTCCCTTCCCTCAGTTGGGCCCACACAAGCTTGTTATACACTTGAACGCGATTTGTGGGCAATTCGGCCCCCTTGCAGTGCACTCAAGTAATGACGCTCACAAGTTGTTTTCAGTAGCTAGTGGGTTTGTTGAGTTGCCGTGACCTGTTGAGCTGTATTTACCTGCTTGAGCATCCTGGTGACGTTTTTTGCTGTTGAATATAGATTTTGTTTAAATTATCAATGGTGTGGTATTTTGTTAATGAATAGAGCATCAGTGTTGCTTTTATCATTTTTTTTTTAATTTGTAACTGTGTGGATTCTATCACTAATACTGTAGAATACAACCTGTAAAGATTCCCTGCAGGGTTTAGTAAACTATTTCTTTGCAATTGTTATTTTAACTTCCCATCTGAGACAATTTATACCTTTTGAACTTGACTATTGTAAGAGCCAAATCCAGCTAGTCTGGAATATTATTTTGAGGTTCAAGGAAATTGCATTTCAATCTTTTTAGAGATAAAAAATCTATTAGCCAAATACTTTTAAGTACTGTATAACAGATTATGAACTTATGATGTCATAACATTTGGTATATAAATTAATAAACTGTAAACAGATTACAGATCATATTCAATAAAAACTGATTGTCTTGTATAGGTCTTTATTATAGCTAAATTGAAGGGGGGAGGAGCACTATTCATATCAATATTTCCAATTTATTGCATGTAACTGTTGCTGACAAATTATCAGTCTCATTTGATGGGTATAAATACATGTTAATGTGTTTAAATACAGTTGTATTTCTTATTAATTCAATATTTTTTCAGGCAAAGCTAAGAGTAGACCGACATCAATTTACTCTGTTGAATACAGGTAATATTTTAAGCTGTTTTCTTGACATGTCAAGTCCAGTAGATGTGATATTAGATGTGTTGTGTATTTGCATTTTTTTGTGGTGGATCATTGGTAATGTATTGCCAAAAGAAATTGGGATTACAGTACAGTATTATAAGAGAACTTGTGGGGTAAAATTAAAAATTTGGCAGTGAAACGATATTCATAGTAATTTTAGATGCTTTGTTTATATATTGATGGTTAAACCTTTGTACTTTATATGTTAGTTTTTGGTGGTAAATCGCTTTTGCAGCAATAACGGATGCATCATGTCGTGTGTGTTTTTCACTGCAACAGACATCATATTTCAAGCTCATTGGTTCATTTGGTCTCTCATCATATTTCAATATATCTTTTAACTGTAGTTTTGGTTTGTACTCCTTTACAATAACATTAGGTATGCTATAAAATACAGCACCTGATACTGTATAGTACAATGTCATACTGGCATAACCCTATATTTATCTTTTAACAAACATATTATCAGATAATTATATGGCATTGTATGCATTATACAGTACTATGATATTGTCTTTTCATGTATCATACAATTGTGCACTTTCCATTCCTTTCCATTTTTCTTGCCTTAAACCCAAAACTAGCTACATGTATTATATTTGTTGACCGATGGCAGTGATCTTTGTTAAGGGTTCCTAGTACAGTAATAGTTGCCATATAATCCATGCATTAAAAGTGGTCTTCCTGTCAGTCTTCACTTAGGCATTCATGTTTTAATGGTCCCACTACCAATCATTATACTGTACTACATTGACTACTGTACTGGTACTATAGTCTTATTAATACTTTAACAATTCTCCCACTGCTGATTATCTTCCATTTTTTTTAGTTCACTACTACTGGCCACCCCTGTATTACCACCCCCGGTGTTACAGCCCCACTACGAGCCACCCCCGGTGTTACAGCCCCACTACGGGCCACCACTGTGTTACAGGCCCACTACTGGCCACCCCCCGTGTTACAGCCCCACTACTGGCCACCCCCCCCCCGTGTTACAGCCCTACTACGAGCCACCCCCCGTGTTACAGCCCCACTACGGGCCGTTCCAATTTCTAGTAAATTCCTCCCAATAAAGAGTAGCATCAGCTTCAGATCTGGTACCAATTCTTGGAAAGCTTTTTCATAAACTTTTTTGTTAATAGGACCTTGTTTTAATCTATTCTTTTTCATCCCTGCTTACCTTTTTTCCATTTTGTATTTCACAGTAGTAACATCTTAACACCAACCTTTTCTTATTTCCTTTTTTTCTTTGATGACTTTTTTCCACTTTCAGCTCTTTGCTATTACAGTGCAATATTCATTATTTCCCCAAGATTTGCACAATTTTCTTTATATTTTGCTCAAACTTTTCCATTTCCCACCAACTTAACTCAAGGGCTTTTTTTAAGCCACTTCAATAAAGTGGCTCAAAAAAGCCACTTGTGTACAGTAATTAGTTTCTTTATATTATACACCATAGTAATTATTTAGCTTTGAGGACTCTACTGTATATTTAAACTAGTTTTCATTTTTATTTTCTACTGTACCTTGTTAAATTTTCCATAAAACAATAATAAATCAATAATAAAGTTTCAGCCACTTTTGCCTTTTTCTTTTATCTATATTGTATGTAGTAAATGCTTAATCAAAAAGATTGAACTTTGTTTTTTCCTCAGTCCCCAACGAGAGGGTAGCGAGTCGCCAGATTTGGGCCTCGATGACAGCCCTTACCAGCAGCCTATGACACCTCGGCGAGTCAAGCGTCAGAGTCGCCACCGAGCCTCAGGCCGTTCACAAACTCGTAGTACTCAGGGGCGGTCATCACAACGATCCAGACGTCATCAATATCTCAATCCCGTAAACAGGCTTATGGATAAGGCAAATGAGTCCTCCACTAGTACAGACTCTTACCATCCTCCCAATGGTACTAGGCCGCCTACTGGAGGACGACAAGGGCACTCTAATCCTATGTATGTCCACTCCAGACCAAACTCGACGTATTCCATGAACAGTTCTCCCCCTGGGCATGACCCTATGGAGCGGCCTCCATCTGTTCACTCTTCTTATTCAAACTACCATGGCCAGCGGCCTTCAATAAACCCAAACCCATATGGTCGGCCACCTGTCCAGGCCATAACTGCAGGTATGATGGGTGGGACTCATCAGCGGCGGTCAATGATGCATGCTAATGGTCACACCAACAGTCATATCCCTCCGGGGCCAACTAGCACTTTAGGGTCCGTCCGAAGCTCTGTGTACAGTAATAATGGGACTATAAAGGCTGAACGAGAGAGACCTCCACCATATATGTTTGGTGTGAATTCTGAAACTGTAATATGACAAGACAAAGGACGACAGCAGTGAGTCAGGTTAACTACGCACTGTGAAATGCTTTTTTCTTAAATGTTTTATGAATGTCCTTGGCCCAGATTTTGAAAAGAGCTCGTGCAGTAATGAAAACTTTACAGTTCACTTTTTATATACCTCTTTCACCATAATACTGCATTTTGAAATGGCTGTAGTCTGTTAATCTGTTAAGAGGTGCAGATTTGTGAATTTGGGCCTTTGTCTGTGATCTTCCAAAGATTGTATATTGTGAATACATCGTATTTTTATCTAACATTTGCTCACATGCATACTTTATCAATTTTCTACTACTTTATTGCATTATCCAAGCTTATTGCACAAGTAGGTTACTACTGCACTTTCTTCACAAGATAACCAAATGTCATTAATTACTAGGAAAAAATGCTTAGTATAGGTTTTACTTGTAATGTATACTGTCATTCTAGTGTGTCAGCAGCCACTGCCATTCATCACTGCCTATTTTATAGAAGACAAGTTTATCTTAGTCCACTACATATTATTTATAAATATTGTTTTTAATTGGTTTGTTATTAAACAAGCTAAAATATTGGCTAATTAGCATTTGTGATGTAGTAATCATCTTCTCATTATTATACTTTCCTGCCAGACTTGAGCCAAACTCAAAGATGTTTTATTGTATTGAATCTACATTTGAATCAAAATTCTCTAGTAGATAGACTTAAGATTAATTTAGTGTAATTTAATATACATGATCTTTATACTTGGAAACTTGTCCTCTGTTTTGCCGTCAGCATCTTGATAATCCACCTTCATGTTAGTGATAGTTGTCAGTTATTCAAAACTTTAGAACTGTACAGCTGTGTTTTCATCATGGCATTTATAAAGGTATATTATCACAACGGCCAATCGAATTAACAATGCCGTAATGCAAACTGCTGATGACAAACCACTTGGGCTAGTTCTAAATATACTCAATGCAAATAACAAGAAACTGATGTTAGTAAAATATTGAAAATAGTTTGGGTACCAACAAGTCCTCTTTCCTGTCAATCTGATCTGTAACTGCATCTGAAGCCAGCACCAATGGACACCCAAACTGTTCTTAAAATGGATTTTATATTAACAAAAAAACTTAGCTATGGGATAGTGACTTAAAGGAGGAATTAGAGAACTGTACTTGAAACCTATTTACCATAATGGTTTTGGAACAATCAGGGTCACTGAGAAATCAGTCTAAAGAACTTCCCCCAAAGATTTCAACTTTGGGGACGTTCTTAACTTTGGGGTGCAACTTTCTTAACTAGAGGCACACTTTGAAGGACACTTGTGTGTCCTTGAACTTGAACAGGCCATCCCTGCTGACGAGGTCGAAGGCCTGCGTCAGATCTATGAAGGCTACAAAGAGTGGCTACTTCTGAATTTAATATTATCATTATTGTACAGAATTGTACACTGGATAGAAATGTATGACAATATTATACTGTGTTTTATCTTAGTAACAGTATTAATGAAATGGTTATTGTATCAATAGTTATTTAACATTGTTTATTTTTGTCAGTTGTGATCATAAGGAATGCTGTACACCTACTGGTACCTTTGACACTGGGCTCTTTAGCTCATTCAGAAGACTTAAATTTAAATTCTTGGTGGTTAAAAATCAGATACTGTCATAGAATTGTTTAACTTTTTGTTTATTACACTCCTGATTTAATTGAGCTTATAAACACAAACCCAACTTTGCTGTGTTTTTATGGTCATTTGACATGTTTTTGTCAATAGAATTGGTAAAGTTTGGCGTGCGTGTGTTACAGTATGAAGAATTTGATCTTTGGCAGACAATTTCTCTTGGATACTTGAATATTAAATATAATTTCTTGAATTGAGATTATTTTTTAGTAAAACTTGCAATTATATGTGCATATATTTATTTTATTTTGTATCTTTTTATTACCGTTTCTCATTTTGAGGGATTGTTAGGCATTAGCCAGGAGGAAACTGGTCTCTTTTTAAGAACAAGAACTGATTAACTTTCATCATGTAAACAGTATCAAAAGCAGCACAGGTGCCATAAAATGTACACAGTAGCATCCCATTGCTTCATAAAACCATGTGTAAAGGGCTTCCTGTGAGTTGGCATGAGTGTTTTATATCTTTAATTTCACTTGGCTTTATTCTCTACCACTTTTCACACTTGCTCCCCACTTATACTTGTCATGTATTCCCAGGTTCTGGGTTTTCCTCTTGGATTTATTCTCCATTTTATCAATTTATTACCAGACAATCTCGAAACCTTTCACACAATCTTGCAATTTACTAACTCTGCTGTGGAAGGCTGTGTAGTGAATTTCAATTACTTGTCCATCCTTCAACCACCACAAATGCATATTGGATTATCCATTTCTACTGCTCTTAATGTTGATTTCTCACTACAGTTATACCAGTACCTACATGTGTACACAAGGGGTCAGCCTACCATTCCTTCATACAGGCCTCTGGCAGCATCTCTTCCCATTTTATTCTACCTAACCAAGGATTGGATTGCACCAGAGACTTTTCTTCCCCAACTTGTTCTACTCTTTAACTTGTACAATTTTCTTTTCCTGATTAGACAAAATACATTAAAATTACTAAGCCACTTCTAGAACTTTTTATAGCATGTAAAATCTCTCTCCTCCACCATCCCAATTTTTCTTCAATTTTAGTAATCTTGCATAGTGAATATAACTTTTAGCTGAAATGCATACTTTATATTTCTCATTTTCTGAAAGAACCAAATTGTATATATGAAATGTGGTATATATGTGGTACTCCATTTACTGCTATCATGTATTTGACCTAAGACTAATAATTATGGTCCAGTATATAAAATTTGATGAATGCAGACACATATTTCTTGGTTAGAACTGTTTTTGCAGTTTAGTTTAACAGTTTATTATGAGAAGATTGTTCAAGGCCTATATTGACAAGGAAATAAGGTGGTGTCGAGAAGAAAATTGTGTGAAACGGGTGTGAATGATGATGACTAGATGGCATAAATTGGCATAATACCTAGGCTATGTGATGTAAGTGGAATTTGTGCAATCAAAATTGAGAGTAGGATCAGCCAGGGTAAAGAAAGTAGCTGGTGCTAATAAAGCTGTGGTTAAAAAAAAAAAAAAAAAATCAGAGGGTTGTATAGAGTTAGTGCAGACACTTGTGAACAAATGTAAGTTAAGGGTTGGGTAGTGAAAGCAGATAGAGAACACCCCCCCCCTGGAGTAGTTTTTGGGGAACGGGTATATTTATTCCTTTATCATGAGAGATGCAGAGTGCAAGAGTTGAACTGAAAGATTGGAGAGCATGTAGAGATAGTTTGGGCATGTTGAATAGATGGCAGACTAATGGAGAGTGTATTTGAGGGTACGAGGAAAGACAAGATGATGGGAGCACTTGTTGAGGAAGTGGGGAGTATGAACATTTACACAGGATATGGTAAGGAACAAGGCTAGGTGTAAGGAGGGAGTGAATGTATTTAATACTGAATGACAATTCACATGGAGCACCATATAACTGGTCTTGTGCAGTGGTGGCTGAAGTTGCGATATACTAGACATGGATAAACAAGCACATATATGATCATGAATTTAAAATTAAATTTTCTTTTTAAAATCAAACTTTTTTCTTCAGGCTTATTTATGCCTTCCTGTTCCATAAATGTGGGAAACGGTAACAGACTGAATTAAAAATGTGTATTCAACTAGCAAGTCATAAAGCAGGATTAGCCAAGAATAGTGTTCATACAGGCTGTACTCCAAAAATTATAGTATCTAATTTTCTACAACAAATGGAATGTAGAAGATGTGGCCTTTTGCACACCCCTTAAATCATTCTGTACTAATTTTGTAGAGGGTGAAAAAGAAAGAACCAAAGTACATGGTTGTACTAAATTAGACAGAGGACAGGTTGTTTAATTTCATGGTTTTAGAATTTTAGTAACACACATTTTACTTTTGGGTACAATTTCATATATTGTACTATCCATCCATAGTAGCTATTAAGATGTATCTGGAGGATGGGTTGACATGACCAGGATAGTGTGCAAATAAGAAAGAATCCAGGGTTTGTAATAAAATACTTTTTCTTGTCAAATAGACTAACATTAACTTCAGTTATGTGCATACAAGACCATCACCTAATACAATATGATGTCTTCCTTCCAGGTGGAGGGATAAAAGAATTGGTTATCCTTGCATATTTGTTCAAATACTGTACTTGATTAGAAATTTATTTTAAAAATTATAGGAACTTATTACCATACACACTTTATTGCGATAGTTGTTCACTATCCATTGGAAGGTTATGTAAATATTTAATTCATACATAAAATGTAAAGTACATTTGACTAGAGAGTAGTGTCATGTGAAGTAGTTTGAAAAGTCCTGTATATGACTAATGAATTTCTGTAATGTCAAACTAAGAGCAGTTCATGAATATTTAATTGATGAATTTAGTTCTGTGCATTTTGAAAGACCACAAATTTCACCAGTCTGCAAGGGATCGATGCATAAAGTTGTAACCTGTATTTATATGTATTTGTGAAGCTAAACTTTATTCATGACTTTATTGCATGTATATTCTGTAATGTTTGGTTTTGATTGATGCCAAATGTTTTATGATCTCATTTATTGTGAAGAATAGATTAGGATACAGTCAGGTTTTTTCCAACGTAATTGTTACGTCTAGATTCACCTATGCACGTTATTTGCAACATGTAAATATGTATGATATGTACAGTTGTGTATATTTGTGTAAATATAACTATAGGCTAATGAAAATAAAACTACAGTTACTGTTTATTTATATCTACAGTTTTTACCTAAATTATTTGTTTGAAAATTTATTTTTCTTGTTTTTAGTGTGCCCCCTCATACCCGCTGCCACACTTCCTGCATTAACTTTATTGCGATTCTTATTTTTCACATTCGTAACCTCATAGAAATCGCTTCCAATTTTCTTTCTCTTCTGATCCCTTTCCATCCTCCTCCTCTGTTTAGATGTTAATGGCTTTTCTTGTTCCTCAGGGCGGTTCTTGCGTTTTCTCCTTACCTTTCTGGAACTTGAAATTGCAGATATATCAGGTGATCCAACTTCTTCTTCACTTGACAAAAGTTCTTCTCCAATCATTTCTTCATCTTCTGATTGCAGTTCCTTACTCTTATTAATATCATCAATATCTGTTGACATTGAAGTAATATTACTGCCAGTACTATTGGATGCTTTAACTTCAATATCTGAGGTGCCAATAGTTTCTACCTCATTGTCCTTGCCATTACTCTTTTTACCGGTGTTACATAATTCTGTAGAACCTGGAGTCGGTTCCTCATTATCTTTTCCTTTCTGTTTATCAAGGTCTGTAGATTCCAAGCAGTTGTCAATAGTACTTGTGGTTCCCTTTTCAGCTTCAGTGTCATTCATCCCTTCATTGGTATCTGAGGTAAAGTCGTTTTCCTCTAGTGCACTATTTTCATTGCCATCATCAATTTCATCATCATCATAATCTTGAGGGACTTGATTAGTCTTTTCCAGGGGTCTAACATCATCTCCAGAGTACTCTAAACTCATTGTAATTTTACTCAAATTTTGCAAGACGGCAGGTACGTTGTTAGAAATGCTAATGCTCTGTGCTGTCGCTTCTTCCTCCTCTGCTTCCTTCTCCTTTATTTTTACAGCCATCTCTATATTCTCTTCATTCTTTAGTTTCTCAAAACCTGAAGAGTCATGTCCTGGAGGTGGTACAAAATATGGGATCTTACCTCGCTGCCAGTCGTTTAGGATCATCTTAGCAACGGTGTTCAAGTCTGGTTCTCCTCCTTTCAGAAGCTTACCTGTACGTCTTGCCACTTTTTCCAGGAACTCTTCTGGAGTGCTCCAATCATCCACCTAAAGTATTAAGAAATTTAGTTTCAGTTGCAACTGATAATGAATCCCCCCCCCCCCATTTCCTATTCCAAACGTCTTAATTTAAGAGTGAGACTTGCTTTCCTATAATTTGAAATTCTGAATACAGTATTCTTTAAAACATAAATACCACCCTCTATGTATACACACCTTAAAATATAGACATATGGAGTGTGTTTGGGTGAAAATAGTACTGTAGTTGATTTTGGTACATGTTGGGTGGTGTAATATATGGCTGGAAGTTCGGTACAGGTGATGGAGTGTGGGGAAAAAAATCTTTAGAAGGCTTATCGTCTGACAAGTTTGATAGACCTAGTGGCCCACATTCACTACAACTGGCTAACACTTTATTGCTTTATTATTTTGGTGTATTTTTATTGATCACCTGCAGGTTATGATGAGCACATGGCAGAGGGGCTAGAATGTAGGTTAACATTTTAAAATGGGTTGTTCCTGTTGGGTGGGAAGCAGGCCACAACTATTGGCAAACCCCTGCCAGGTTAAAGATTTAATGAACCCACACCTCTCCTCCATCCAAAATGTCATTGGGCGACACTGTCCAACAATGAAATTAAGCTTCGTTTTATAATCGCTAAGTATTTTAAATAGTCGAACAATGAGGCATTCTCCAGGCAAATTGTTGCCACTGGGCTATATTGATCAATTTAAATTAGCAGCATCGATAAAGTTTCTTTGACTTTCTTATCTGTGGTTACCCATGTAACTTTACTATACTCGTGCTGAATGACAATTTAAAATTGTAAATGATATACCAAAGTAGGTGAAATTGCCAAGGCATTAAAATGGGGAAAAATTATAGCAAATACTGTTAGAATGCTTCCTAGGATTCTTTGTTATGAGTGAGCAGTCACACACGAATGACTTCTTGCAGATGTGTGACTGATTTGCATTAAACCAGCAAATACTAGAGCCAACTAGGAAAGAAAACGTATCTAGACATTCTTAGAAACAACAATGGGCTGATTAACATGAGTGTAATCAATGTCCCTACTCGGATCACAACCCAAATGAAGTTTAGACAAGCAAGGCCAATAGACCTGCATAACCAGTCTCAAATCTAAGGAGGAGGAGAATTCAGCAAATAGTTTTAATAACAGAGAAACCAGGTACAAATAAACCAAGACCACACAGAAATGTACTGGGAAGAACAGCTAGATAATGCAAACTTAAACCAGTGCTTGGAGAAAGTAGGCACAGTTGCACTAGGAATATGTAGAAGTCACATATCACTAAGGAAGAAAGTGATTAAAATGCAAACTGGAATAGTGGCATTTCCCATATAGGCAAGAGAGAAAACACAAACACTTCATGTTATCCCAAGAATGACAAGGAAGGCTGATTGAGCTCAAGCTTTTATCAAGCACGATCAAGCTTTTATGATGACAAAATGGATCTTGCTTGGATCACAAATTCTTGGATCAAGAATTAGAGTAAAAAGGCCATAAATGAAATAGAAGTCAAGTTTCTGATTTCTCTCCATGTAAAATCCAGAAAAACTACATTTTTCAGCATTGTGCCTTTGCACAAGGGTGATGGAACTTTCACAGATGACAACAAAGAAATGAGTGAAATAGTGTACCAAGGCTTCAGTACAATACGGTTAAGTGAAACCCCCCTCAACACATTGAAGATCAATGATGCAAATGATTATTTTTATGAATGTGACGCCAACATAGGGTGACATCTGATATTTGGTTCTAACCTCACAAACATTGAAGTAGCCATAAACAGTATGCCGATGCAATCTGCACCAGGCCCTAAAACATTCCCCTAAAAACACTAGAAATGATTTAGGAATCGCTTTGAGAACCAATTTTGTAATGGTGACAAGCATAGAGGGGAAATCATGCTTGACAAACCTCATTCAGAGATAGTTGCATTTTTCTAGCCTTTTGGGGAGGAAAAAAATAGCATGATGGTTCTTCAAAAATAGCTAGTACACAAGATGGAGAAAAATATTAGGCCATGTATTAGGGTTACTGATGGAAAATGTAATGGGAAAATATCAATGAAAAATGAAGCGGGTGGGATCTCTAAAAGGTTTGGTCATAGGCTACTGTCAGAGAACCTTTATTATTAACATCTTTATTGACAAAATTAATTACAATTTTGCCTAATCTGAGGATTTTGATAAAGTCTTATTAAAGTGAGGATAATGCTGGTATTCACTGTCACGCAGGACAGAGGGTCATACATAAGACAATAGGTCTAAACTGTAGGCTGAAGCACATATATATCATGCCAGAGAACCCAGATAAGCTACAGCAGTGGGCAGATCAAAGTCATCTACAGTTCAATCCCAGAAAGTATAAGGTAATGAAACTCAAAACTACACCAATAGTGCCAGAAATCAGAAAAATTTGGCAGTAGATGTAATACCATGAATAATACTGGAAGTGCACAAACAGGATAACATTAGTATATGCAAAGCTGGCAATACTTTTCACAGCTTTTTGAAAACTAGAGGGGCAGTGTATAGTATCTTAGAAGGGTCTGTCAAACCAGCTCCAGAACACAGCACTGGCATGAAATCTGCCTTATGAAGCACACACACTATATTAAATACCAGAGGTTTGCTAACAAGGCTGGTGTTTGAAATAAGAAAGCAAAACTATCAAGACTGGTAAAGGAAGAGCAATCTAACAACTTTTGTGAAAATGGCCAAGACAATTACTAGTTAGTTATGTACAAAATGCTGAAGAGGATAAACAAGATGGACAGTATTGTTAACAATGATCAAAGCTCATTGGCAAAGCTAACACACTTTTAATGAATAATAACTTTTGTGCCAAGGTGTAGACATTTTTAATGAATAATAACTTTTGTGCCAAGGTGTAGGATACCTAATTATGACAAAACCAATGGGGAAGGCAGTAACTTGATATTTCAAGTTGCTTTTTGTTTTAGGTTTAGCTATATTTTATTAATTTTAAGTTTGTCAGTACACTAAAAGTTTGCTAGAAGACTATGAGATCCTCTGGTTTCCAGAGAATTGTGTAGTTTTAAGACAACCTGACCCCAACCTCGTCTTCGATACTGTTGAGCCTGGGTTGCTTCTAATTAGCACCCAAATCAAAACAATGGGAGGACTTGAGGTTAGCGTGTTGTCAGGAATGGATGAAAATAACAAGGGTAGAGAAGAGGGTGTAGCTTTGATTAGCAGTCCACTACGGGCTCACCATAGCCCATGCTACTTGAAACTTTTGTTCCGAGAAGCCAAATCTAAAATAAAAAAGCTTTGATCACATTAGATCAAATAACGGAGTACGAGGGGGTATGAATGTGTTTAATGAAATAACATGTCTAAGTAATACATATGCTCCAGTATGTAAAGAGAATCTTAAAGGAATCGGGGAGACCAAGGTGTTTTGGAATCAACATAACAATTGTGTAGAAGCAACAAAGATGGTAGGAATGTTATTTTTGGTGGATATGAATGATGGGTGGGGAATAAATGTAGACAGGTTGTTGGAAATGAGGTGTTCAAAGTGTAAATAAGAATGGTGGATGTGTGTGCAGGAGGGGGAGGGGGGTTCTACCATGGCTTTCTTTGAACATAGGTTTATACACAGGTATACATGGAGGCAAAGGGCAGAGAATGAAATGGAGCCAGAGAGTTTGATGTGTATATAAATACAAGTGTGAAAGATGTGAGGATAGTGAGAGGAATATTTGTGGAGTCGGATCATGATGTGCTGTGAAAAAATTAGGATGAGTGGGAATGTAAAGATGGAAAAACAAAAGAAAATTTGTATAAAATTCCTATGCAAATTACATTAAATTATGCAAAAGAAAACGACACCGAGTGCAAAGTGGTGATATAGTACTGATGAAACAATGAAAGCTGCAGAAGATGTGTGTAGTTACATGTTGGTAACAAATAGAGGAAAGTATTGCACAATACAGAGAAAATGTCACTTTGTAGATAAGAAAACATGCCATATAAATGTAAAGTGATTAGAAGAAAAATGGTTAGGAATTAAAAAGAAAAAGGGAAAGGATGAAGTGTGTGGGGAAAAAATTTAAGGACTTTATAGGAAATAACAAAAAAAGTTGAACACTACAGGCTAAAGGTGATTATGGTAGAAAAGGGGAGGTAAATATAGTAAAGAATGTAAGGGGGAGGAGCTTTGTTAGGAAACAATAAAGGTTCTCTTCCTCACCTTGTATGTCTTGCAGATATACTCTTGCTTCACTCTCTCTATAATAGGAGCAATGTAATCAGCAGGATTCTTGAGGTATTCAGTTCTCACGGCTCCCTTCAGGACCATGTCTGTAGCACTCTCGTGCGAAGGTGGAACAACACCAGGACAGTCAACAAGATATATCCTCCGCATCAGAGTAACATATTGCCACACTTTAGTTTCACCAGCAAGTGGAGCTACATTACAAACCTGAAAATATTATTACATTAAACCCAATCCTTCAGTTATTAAAAAATTACACATAACTACTCTACATTTTCAAGAGAGAAAATTGTCAAAATTAGTACCATGTTAACAATGGTTAATCAAGTCCTGATCTCTAATGTATTATGATCTCCAGTTTTATTATAAAGTTCATAATAAAAACTAGTTACTACACTGCAGCTACATTAGATAGTTATTTTAAGTATACAGGACTTTAATGTAAATGGATGTGAAGTTAGGACAATTGAGAGGATGTGGATATTCAAAGAATAATCATATATATGACAGTAGACTGTGCTCACTGACAACAATACCAACATTGTAGATATTAACAGGAATTTAACTCGACTGAGGGACAAATCTAAGTTCCTCAAGAATGCATGAAGGGGATTAAAATTATTTGGTCAGCTTGTAATTATAACTATGAATGCCTTACAGTAATATTGTATGTGGTAAAGCAGAGCTATGTTCTTTCAGAAAGTCATCCCCACCCTTGGTGTAATTATGTATGCTGCCAGTGTTGATGTAGAAGACAAAGTAGAATGCTGTAATAATAATTAGATAATGTAGGTCCCAAAATTAGTAAAGAGGACAATAAGCACTGCAAAAAAGAGGAGCAGACCGTTCTTTCTAGTTGATATATTATGCTGGCTCTAAACTGTAAACCATCAATACAACAATGAATAACAAATGCTCACCTTTTTAGCCTTCAGTGTGTTTATTATAGAACTCTTGCCAACATTTGGAAATCCGATGAGGCCAACACTAATTTGCTTCTTGCCCTCGTGTAATTTTCCAAATTGGCGCAGTAGGTTGATTAGAGCACCTTTGCCATACGGATTTGTAATAGAGGAATGGAAGGCAAGACTAGGATATTCAGCACTTAAAATGGCCACCCATTTTTGAGTTACCCACACAGGCACTAAATCAACCTGAAAAAATATAATTGCATTATCAATGACAAATTTTGGAAAAAAAAAAAAAAAATCAACAATTTTATCAATTCAAATGTGAATGCCATCTGTATTTAAACATGGCATTTTCTTTATTCTCAATAATCTGCAGGAGTTGCTATGGTTTGAAAGTAGAGTACAGCAAGCAATTATCACAAGAAGGTGCCAAGCTGGGGAGACTTGTATATATATGTATAGCATTTTAGGTTGAAGAGCATCCCATTTGTGTAATGAAAGAAAGTCAAGAAGGAAAGGCAACATCTCGCTTTCCTGGAAATAAAGGAATTTTATTTTACATTTATTCAACATTTTACTTACTTTATTTAGAACAAATACAAGATGTTTGTGAGGCGTTTCTGTGCGCATATACTTTTCAATTAGTTTTGACCTTGTTCCCATTGGGTCTCGAGCATCAAGCACTTGAATTACCACATCTGAGGAATCTATGACTTTGTAGAGCTCATTCCATATACGCTTGCTCTGCCCAGCCTGGATAACAAGATTATTATTAGTACCGTTTGAAGGAATCATATTTAAATGCATTCAGAAAATTACATTAAACATGCATAAATGTGAATACAAGTTTGTAAAAGGTAGTATGTAAAATATGCTAATTACTGAAAATGGCGATAGGTCACATTTTGCCCAAATCCCCCCTGGAGTTTTCAAAATATCTCCAATGTCCCAAATCCGTCTCCCGAGCCATATTTTAGAGTCGAATTCTGGCTCTCTGCACACACATTTGCAGTTTGAAATTACAACTCTTTATACCGAAAATATGCCAATTACTGAAAACGGCGATGGGTCACATTTTGTCCAAACGTCCCCCCCTGCAATTTCAAAATATCCCAAATATTCCAAATCCATCTCCCGAGCCATATTCTGGAGCCAAATTCTGGCTCTCTGCACATATTTGCAGTTTGAAATTACGACATTTTCTACCAAAAATATGAAAATTACTGAAAACGGCGATGGGTCACGTTTTGCCCAAACCCCCCTGCAGTTTTCAAAGTATCCCAAATATCCCAAATCCAACTCGTGAGCCATATTTTGGAGGCAAATTCTGGCTCTCTGCACATATTTCCAGTTTGAAATTACGACCTTTTATACAGAAAATATACCAATTACTGAAAACGGAGATGGGAGACGTTTTGCCCAAACCCCCCTGCAGTTTTCAAAATATCCCAAATATGCCAAATCCATCTCCCGAGCCATATTTTGGAGCCAAATTCTGGCTCTCTGCACATATTTGCAGTTTGAAATTACAACTCTTTATACCGAAAATATGCCAATTACTGAAAACGGCGATGGGTCACGTTTTGCCCAAACCCCCCTGCAGTTTTCAAAATATCTTAAATATCCCAAATCCAACTCCTGAGCCATATTTTGGAGCCAAATTCTGGCTCTCTGCACATATTTGCAGTTTGAAATTACAACCTTTTATACGGAAAATATGCCAATTACTGAAAACGGAGATGGGACACATTTTGCCCAAACCCCCCCTGCAGTTTTCAAAATATCCCAAATATGCCAAATCCGTCTCCCGAGCCATATTTTGGAGGCAAATCGTGGCTCTCTGCACATATTTGCAGTATGAAATTACAACCTTTTATGTTATATGGAAAATATGCCAATTACTGAAAACAGCGATGGGTCACGTTTTGCCCAAACCCCCTGCAGTTTTCGAAATATCCTAAATATGCCAAATCCGTCTCCCGAGCCATATTTTGGAGCTAAATTCTGGCTCTCTGCACATAGCCTTCCCTCGAGTCAAAAAGTTCCCCATTTTGGTTATTTTATCTCGGGTATTTGTTGTTACCAGCTTTATAAACACTATAAATTGACTTCCATATGGATACTGATCAAGAACAGAGCAAATCCATGATGAAAACATTGAATGAAACATGCATGAAGGAAAAGTTAAAGTATTCATCCAAAGTATAGAAAAGTGAGACTTTTTATGTTCTTATATGCAAATATTCCTTTACAGCATTCTATTGCGAACAATTTGATACCAAATTGAATGACATAGTATGAAATTTGAGATCAGAAAGCTGAAAGAGAGTATAAACATTTGTGAGTGGTGGCAAGTTCACACGCATCGCTAGGCCTACCTTGAGGTGCGCGGCGGGTCGCCTGCTGGGCCAGCGAAAGTGTTTTCAAGAGAATTGTTAAAATATTTTGCCTATAAAACTTAAGATTTATACAGTATGCCGAACAAGCACTGAAAGGCGATATACTTCATCTTTAGACAGAATGAGATGATATAAATAGCAAAGTATTTGGAAATAGCAAAGTACTTGAGCTCGGCAATACTGAGGAATATGATGAAAGGCTCTTCAAATACTTTTACTATGTATCAGCCAAATGGAAAATAGAATAAAGTATTATGTACAAGTCCTAAATCACTATGACTAATTCATTAATATTAAGCAATTTCATTATTTTCCCCCCACACCTGAAAACTATCTCATCTTCAATGAAGTTTTATGACCTTAAAAAAAAAAAAAAAAAAAAAAAAAAAAAAAAAAAAAAAAAAACCTTGTCAAGGCTAAGGGTTTAATACACATCTTTAGTATTGAAGTATATAGTGATATCAGACAAACAGCAATTAAAACAGTAAAATTGCAATTACAGTACTGCATGCACTATACAGAATAATAAGGTATTGACATATTAGCCTAACCTTTAAGAACCACTCGGGAGGAAGTTCTTGTGTATCTGGAGCATCACGTACAAGGTCAACATCTTTTTCTGCGTCATATTTGTCAAAGGCCTCTTCAGCACATTTAGCATACTGAGTAAAGTCCCCAATCTGAAAACAGACAAGATGACATTGTTGCCTGATGTAGATTAATGTAAGAATATTAAAGGAAGATGCGAATTAGTGTATGATTCAAGTACAGTAAGTTAAGTACTTTAAGAGCTCAATAATCCAGACCCCATTACTCTGGACTTTTGGGTAATCTGGACAAAATCGAGTCAGAGATTCGTCTACCAAACTTCGCCAAACTCGGACAGGAATCTGGATCATTAAGGCTTTACCCGGATTACTGAAAAATATCAAGAGATCTATGCTCACCAGAAAAAGCCCTAGCAGATTGGCAATCAAAACTGACTTTGCCAATCTACCATAACCATGTAAATTTATGTTTACAGTGTGTGTGTGTGTGTAAATATAAATTACATTGTTGTGGTACAACACAAAATTGTGAATATGTTCATTTTTAGCCACTGTCTTTTCCATTTAATATCCACAGAACATGATTTGCATATGTTGCTTCTTCATTGCAGCAGGAGCAATGAGTGAATGGAAAATTCACCTAATTACAGATGCACAAAGAAAAGTCCTTTCTAGAAAGACAACCAGAGGCAATGTAATAATGGTTCAAATATGGCCAGTTCCATTTAGTTTTGGTCAATGCTTTCGCATCATTCTTACCCTGAGAAGTATCAAGGTAAAGTAATTCAGAAATTAGGCTTCGAGTGACTGAAAAGAAATTCTGAGCAAGACATATCCTCCAGTTCAACACACCTGAATGAGTTTGTGATACCACTGTGTATGGAGTTTTCTTTTTGTCAATCTGAAAAGGATAAGGCTCAAAGCCAAGAACCTATTCTTGACAAAGGTCACACCATCTGGTGGCAATCAAGGGCAGCAGCTAGGTGCAGAACAACTGACTGATATAGAATTTACTTAGTGGTCCAGTATATAAAAGAACTTTGTGTAGTGACCCTTGACTGTGCTAAACACACAGGACAGGGCAGGGTCTGTGCTATGATTTTCAAACCTTGCAGGAACATTTTAAATGCTGCCTCCAGTGTTGGGGCAGAACATCACCCCTGTCCCGACAACCACGATCCTGCCAAATGGAATATTAAGTGATGTCCCCTTGCGAAGCTTTCAAGTGAATATGAAGTAGGAGAAAGAGAGAAAGGCTTAACAGATGATGGGCAGACCAGGGGGAATGAAAGTGTGATGTAGCATTGACAGAATGAGTAAAGAACAGCACACAATGGTGCTAGGTAGCAGCTATCTCACAAAAGGGAGTAGATATCCGACATGCTTACCCATTGATTAATGTTGGCATGGCCAGCCTTCCCTGGTGACTGCCTGGTCTGTAAATGTTAACTAACAAGGAACAAATCTTATATAGTATGGTAGTGTTGTGGATAATTTGTTGGTGTGGTGATGCATGTTCTCCATGATGAAGTACTGAAATGTAAACAAAATATAATTTCTATAAAAACAAATTTGTTTAATGAAAAAAGCATGAGCAAATATTTTTGTAAAAACACAATGAAAGTGAGAAATTTGGCAAGGATGATAATCTGAGATCAAAAGGTTGATGGGGAATCCCAATTTCTAAATACTGAACCAACCTTAAAATTTGGCTTCTTTCTTGTTTTCCTCTTACCAAACACACAATCATAAGGTTCAGTGTCGAGGATGTGCACACGAGCATTCTTAGCCGTTTCATTTAGCAGAGAAATGGGCAATGTGGTCTTCCTCATCACAACCTGTATGCAATATAGGCCACATTAATGTATATCCTACAGTAAATTAACATATACACTACTGTATATCTTATCCACTAATGATAGACATCAAATAAAGTTTGGTATTGTATAGTAATTCAGTCTCCAAAACTCATCTTTAGCCAGAATATGGAATCACTTGTCCTCCCCCACATCTTCTTCCATCAGTTACTCTACATTTGACTTCCATTTTCCCTATACCTACCTATCTAAACGCCCCCCCCCCCCCTTTATCACTTCTGTACAGAATACACAAGAACTTAAGAATACAGGAAACTACAGAAGGGGTATTGGCCCATATGAGGCAGCTCCCATGTATATCCACCCAAACTCATTCAAATCTAACATATGCTTAAAATAATCATGTAATCCTATGTCTATTATGCTAACAGTAATTTGTTAGAGGGATCAACTACCCTTTTAACAAACCGAGGACTTATCTAAATCTAAAGTTCTTATAATCCATCCAATCACCCGTGGCTGACTCCAACGTTACAGCTAGCACATCAAGTCATTCAAACTCCTGTTAGTTAAATTTTATGCAAGACCCATTTTCCCCATCACCTGCCAGCCAATAGTTAGTAAAATCTAGCCCAGATGACCTACCACAAACCATCCACAACAACTAATCCCACTTCAAATAATTCTATCAATCACCATAGCAGATTTTTACTATAAGAGTTACTTTTCTGTTTATAACCTATGTATTTATTATTCAAAGAAAAGTTGAAAAATGTGGGTTTCAGAAGCTACTGTATGTGAAACCACTGTACATTCTGGCAGCTTGGCAAACAATAAATTCACACTTCATTATACCTGATTTTAGCAATACTGTACTGTATTCTTTTCAACATTAAACCCTTGTCACTTGTATCTGACTTTGAATGTATAGCACAATAGAATCTCAATGTAAATACAAAATGTTATACCCAGTACTTGAAAGCAAAATATTATGATGAAAGATCAAACCTAATTCAAATAAATTGAACGATAATGCCACTGACTTTCTATAATTTTTGTTAATCACAAGGAAAATACATAAAGAAATGATTTAATACATTATTTCAGTCATTAACAGATATAAAACTAACCTGATATGGATCTTTCAGGACCTTTCCCATCTCTTCTTGGAAAGTTTGGAGAGCTTTCTGCCCAATAACTTTTGTATTTCCAAACCACCGCTGATTAGGTTCAACACGAGCTTGAGTACCTATTAGGAAAATAAATTGAACAAAAATATTTATTTTAACAATGTAAAACACTAAAATGCAACCCACTACTGAATCTATATGGGTATTCATTCCCGGACATCCTACACAGGCTCATGTCACATTCATTTTTATCAAGAACACAATGAATTTTTTACAATTTCCAAGAACAAGAGTCGAATAAAATAGCCCATCCTCCTGTTTTGGTAGTACAGTACTTATAGTAACGATGAGAACCATAGTATATATACTGACGTACAACGAATTTAAAAAAAGTAGAAATCTGAATTATTGAGTTGGACAAACAGGAACTGTTTTTTTACTTTTGTTGCTTTGACAAACTATACTAACCAAACCTAACCTAACCTTCCTAGGCCTAATACATGATATCCAAGGCCTAATATAGTACATACATGTGCTATACAAGTCCTAGAAATATTTAAGTTTGATTTTTAGCTTAATTTATTTTAATAGAATTCCTTACTAGTCCATATAGTACTACTATCTAAAAGCCAAGTATGTACAAATTTGTGACTATTGACGAGTCACAATAGGTACTATCTAAACAGGAGGATGGGTTAATAAATATAACTTGGCTACAGTACTCTCTAAATGAAAACCATATATATAATCTTTTTCCAAACCAGGCCTTTTGACATTCCTATTTAATATTAAATGAGAACATTCATTCGCTCTCATTTCCCACATTCTGTGTGTGAATTTCATTGTGTAAAATCAGAAATACATGTGGTCATTTGATGAATATACACCAGGAAATTCACGGCAGGAAAACCTAACTACAAACATCCACCCTCATCCTCAGTCTTTCCAACATCTCCGTGTGGGTAGCACTTTTATTATTCTGAAAATTAGTATAGACTACAGCCCCTTATACAATACAGTGCCGGCACCGTTTGTAAATTTAATTCGTGCCAAGAGATGGTTTGTACACCAAAAATTTGTAAACCGAAACAAATTTTCCCTGAAGAAATAATGTAAATTTAATTAATCTGCTCCACACACCCAAAAATACTAACTTAAAAATACATTTTATACAGAATACCACAGTACTGTTTTTTTTACTATACAGTACCTTTATTGAAGACTCTTTGATGGCATATGGAAGACAAACGGAGGCCGGGGGGAGGGGGAGGTGTTACTGTTTGGAAGAGGATTCCCCCCCTTCTATCATATCATCAGGCACTCGTGACATTTCTGGGGGACTCTCTTTCCTACGATTTACAGGCATACCACTAGGACCCGGTTGTGGCTCACAGCTTGCTTGTCTTACTAAGAATCATTTTATAGACACTGGTTTTTCTCTACGTTTTAACACTTGTCTGTAGCGAGACATCACCATGACTTCACTATGAATGATCTCGTTTTTCCTCTATCGTCATGCTCACAACTATTTTCTTAGGTTGAACTTTACCACTGACTTTCTTGGGACCCATGGTGTGATATATAATAAGAACTTTTATGCTCAGAAAGCAGAAAAGCAATGAAATCCTTCACAAAAAATTCAAGCGCAGTCATTACAAGGTGGTATACACTGGTAAACTGAGTGTGCATCGCTCCACGCTTCTCAGAACCACGTGCTCAACCCATACAAGTACAGAATTGACAAACGACTCGATAAACGAAGTTTGCCTCGGATTACGAGTCAAATTTTACGATGAAATTGACTTTGTAACACACACAAATCACAATAGCGTGATGCACCAAATGAACAAAGAACATTCTTTTACCATGTCGTAGCTCAGTCGATTAAGGCAGCGTCTGGGATCCTCTCGGACGTAGGTTCGAACCATCGTCACAGCCCTTGTGGTTTGTTCATTTGACTTTGTATACCAAAAAATTTACTTTTGTATACCAAGTGAAATTGAGGTTCCATTGTATTTTAATGTAATAAGATTTTCATGATATTGCATTGAAAATCTTGAGCCAATGAATGAGTTATAAGCCTGGTATGAAAAACATTGTGGTGAAGCTAATGGGTCCATTTAAATAAAATTTGTTTTCCCACTTGCAAATGACAAGTTTTGTTCAGTGGAGATCAGAGTTAACAGCTACAAGTTATAATTGTTATTCAGAGAAAGAATACAGAGTCATTTCCTGAAATACTGTAATTAACTCTTGGATTGCACCCCTGTTTACAGGAGACAATGCCCAGGTGCACAGAAAAAAAATTCTTCCAATATCGTCAAAATGTCTTCCCGTATCGTGGGAAAATTAAACAAAAATTATGACTTACTTTGGCCACTGTGGAGTGAGGAAATCTTGCGATGTCACAATTCATGAGCATTCATAGAGCAGTTACTCGTGAGGTTGCCCCAGGCCAGGCATGAGGTGGGAGCTGCCACATGATATATTTTTACATACAGTATTTCAATGTCACCAATTTGTTTTTTCAGTTTTTTTTGTTTGCAGTAATATTATTCAATAGTATCATTTGAGACATTTATACAATAATATGTGTGGAACATCGGTATGCTCAAATTTATTTGTGTTACTAATAAGCACATTTTTATGTACCATTATGAACCACTACACAGTTCTAGTGGGTGTAATAATCTTGTAACTAGAGATCAGAGTCAAGCCTGGCCCTTTATATTTTTCCATGAAGTTGTAACTGCACGTATTTAACATAATATACTGTATTCGTATTGTGAATGCTTTTACCATGGTTTCAGTGCAATGACGCATTTGGCTGTAAAAAAGGTTAATTTACAGTATATTACAGAATGTGTAGAACTATGTTTGCATAGATATATTTGTGTCATTAATATTCACACAATGTTATGTTCTTTGAACAAAACATACTGCTACTCTGGTCAAATTTAGAATTGCCTTTAAATTCATGGATGGAGAAATCATAAAAAAAAAGCACTATATATACAAGATCTTTACTAAATAAAATATGCAGTAATTGTATGGTGTCGATATTTAAGAAACACACATAAAATAGAAATGGTGCAAGGACATGCTACTAAATGGCTTCAGGATTTAACACACAAGAACTATGAGAAGACTATGGAGGTGTTATATGCCAAAACTAGTGGATAAAAGAAAAAGGTACAATAATCCCCACCTAAAAATGTAACACGAATTGACAAAATTTATAGAAAGTTTTATATTTATAGGATTTAAAATTAAAATTTATAGAAACACTTAAGAACAAACCTGCAACACCCTAAATTCAAGCTAAGAAAACAAAAGGTGTCAACATGCATAAATACAATTTTGCAAACAAAGTAGCAAACGAATGTAATCTACCAATGCTAACCTGGACTGACTCGGTTCTGGAATATTGCCGACTTTACAATCTTTCCCTGCCGATTGCGCTTGGCTTTCCCAGTACGGTACATCTGCAACCGCTTAATAGTTGATTTATCTCTTGCATATGGAGCACCACGAAGTTGAACCTGATAAAAGAATTAAATACATTACATATATATTTTCACACGCATGTATGTGGTTTTAGGCACTTGGCAAATTTTGTGAAATAGAATACAGTACCAAGCAATGAGTCACACTAACTTTTGGCTGTCTGCTTGGTAATAACCTCCATGCCAGTGATTTGAATTACCTCAACCTTTATCCAAGTATATTAAGCAATTTCTCCAAGTTATGCTAAAATTAAGTACAGTAAGCAGTACATACTGTGTCCCATTCAACACTCTATACACACTTTCAATTAAATTTACATTTTCAAAATGTTCAGATTAACATTTGATATCACACCTTCAAATCTAGCAAACTTATCATCCTTACCTTATCACGAGGTCGATCTGGATTCATGGAATTGGTGGAATGGACGAAGCCCTCCTTCCTCTTCTTGGTTCTATTTGCTGTTTTCCCCATTTTGTGACTATTAAAGAACTTGTCTGAAGAACACCAAAAAATATTTTCAGTTACATAATTAAATATAGAATACATAAATTGAGACAGTACACACTACAGTTCAACATTTATAACACCGAACGATAACAAACTTCACAGTGGGGCCAAATAAACAAACAGGGGGGACCTTTGACAAGCTGCCAGCTTTCTGTCCTCATCAAGACAGTGGCCCTCAAATAAAATTTGATTTTCAAACCTCAAGTACCTATATAGAGTACAATGATACTTTTCCTACTTTTCATGGCGATAGTCCCTATTCTAATGAAATTCTCTTATTTTTATTACAACACAGCTTGGATTCATGAAATGCATTTACACAGTATATTTACAGTTTCGACATAACAGTATTCAGAACTAGATTGTACTGAAGAAATAGCTATGTTTAGGAAATGTTTGTTGTTCTTGACCAAAAGGAATTTTTATTTATATATATATATTATATATATTATATATATTATATATATTATATATATATATTATATATATATATATATATATATATATATCTATCATATATATATATATATATATATATATATATATGGGAACTTTGTTAGTTTATACCCATCTCTGCATAAATTAGTAAAATTTGTATGCATATATCACCATGAAAATGAACTGGACATTATACACATTACCCTCTCTAGTATAACTATCACTAAAAATTTGTTTAAAAGGAAATTTAATCTTTAAATAAACATTAAATAAATTCACAAAGACAAATTTCATGGAATCATATCATGGTCATGCAGTCCTCACCATGTTTCACTAAATAAACTGCCATGCTGCAGTACTGTACACTTCTGATCCTGTAGTACAGTAGTCAGCTTAGTTCATAAGACATTCTGGATTAATACTGTTATTAGATTAGGGATAGTGACAGCACAGGACCTCGTGTACCCCATTGTTCCTTTATGCCATGAAAACAAAAAAGTAAGCCTGGAGGTGATGTATAACCCGTCAGTGAAAAAAAAAAAAAACACCGTGCCTTATGACTGATTAATACACTGTACAGCATGAGCTTGATGACACCCAGACATCCATCAGAGAAGCAAGTGCTAGTACCCACTCAACACAGAGAGCAAACTGGAAGACTATCCATCGACACCCGTAGGAACTTCCCCCTCCCCCAGACAAAAATTCACCAGGCATCCGAACAAAGTTGAAGACAAATGGCTAAATAATAATGGCCCCTTCAAACACTCAAAACCCAAACAAGCTAAATTTTGTGACGTTTCCGAGTGATCAACAGAGCAGTCCCGTGGCGCAGTGGTAAGACACTTGCCTTGCGTTTCGCAGGCGCTTTGTCCTTAGCTCGTATCCTGGCCGGGGAAATTTTCTTGGTCACCAATCCTTAACTGTTGCCTCTGTTTACCCAACAGTAAAATGGGTACCTGGTTGATAAACACTTTGGCGGGGTAGTATTCTGGGGAATATTAGGATTAAGGACCTGCTAGAAATGTCATGCGTGCTAGTAGCTGTTCATGAATGTAAGAACTCTTGTATATGTAAATAAATAAATAAATAAAAAATAAATAAAAGCAAGAGCCAAACGCCTACCAACTCCTGGCAAAGCCAGACACAATCTCAGCGACAAAGAACCAACTAGAAAATGGAAATGAAAAAAGCTATCAACATCCATGAGGCCACCAGAGTGTTAGTGGCCATCAGGTAAATTCAGGAACCCGGAATTCCAGACTGAGTGGAGAACCGGGCAGTCCTGAAGAGACCCTGGTGTTACCTGCAGATGCTTAACGACGTAATACTACACTTGTTACACACGAGAAGAATATACACAGTTGCTTAGGTTGCCAGCAGTGTAATGCACTACTCTATACAGTACTTACACAGAGGTATAAATATTGAGGCAGCTCCGAGGAAGGAGAACCAGATGTTTACTACACGTGTGGCCGCTGACGTCACCAGCTAAAGATGGCACCACAATAACATCAACATTTTCACCAGTACCAAGCTCCTCTATATTGTATATCAAGATTTTCACCAGTACCAAGTTCCTCCTTATTGAAAGTAAAATTTTGGTTTAAAGTCCCTTATTTGAACTCTTTAAACATGCTTATAATATATTTAAAAATAATAAGATGTACTTACAAAGATGTGCTTTTAGGGTCGAGCATTAATTCAAGTCCGCTTTTCTTTAGTTTATAATAGTTTATTTCCATGTTGTTGTTGTTAACGATTCGCTACTTGGAACAAGCAGTTCCAAGTAGCACGGGCTATGGTGAGCCCGTAGGAATTTATTTCCAACATTTTGTTGCTCTATGTGTTTATTTATTTATTTTATTTATTTATATACAAGAAGGTATACATTGGGTTGAGAAAGTACATACATTGGGGCTTGAGTGCAACATTCTTGCAAACCCAATAACACGTAAAGCGTTTTGTTGCCAGTGAAAGTATTCAGAGAATTTATTAGAACCCCTTCCTCTACCCTTCTAGTTCTAATATTATTACTTTTATAGATAATAGAAGGGTAGTGGAAAGGGTTCTAATAAATATTCTGAATACTTTGCTTTAGTTAAGTCGCAGTTTGGGATATCAAAAAATATATAGTTATCGAAATGCCCATGTGATATAGCCTTCAAGAAAGTGCTTAAGATCAGGATTAGCATTGCAGTGTACAGTTTTATACATGTAGAACACTCTTGCGCGAATATGTAGTTACTACTTGTTGTCTGCAGAGTTTGTTATAGTTCCAATAGATTTTTGCTGACCGATGATGGATTTGAGGTGGTTTGCAGTTGTTGGACCCCATGCACTGATACTGTATGCTATATAGGGATAGAGTAGCGAGTAGTATAGTGTAAGAATAGCAGAGTGGGGAACAGCATATTTAATTTTTGAGAGTATACCAACAGTTTTAGACTTTATTGGCTGTTGTTTGAGTACTGAAGTGTAGTTTCTTGTCTATGCATAGTCCAAGGCCCTTTCCCTCATTTTTACTATTAATGTTGACATTGTCTGCCTGAGGATGAATTTGGTGTGATGATTTGGTTCCAAATAAACTGTAGTATTTCTTTTGTATGTTTAGTGAGAGTTTGTTGGTAAACAGCCATGAGTGAAAATTTTTTAATTCATTATTTACAGTATTATTTAGAGTGTGTGTGGAGGTTTAAGAACGTTAGAGACATTTGGCAAACCATTGACGCATACAAGAAATAGAAGGGCTCCTAAAAATGATGCACATTTTGGCATTCCTATGGTTAATGGTAGAGTGAGAGAGGCTATATCATTGATGGCTACACATTGGTGTCTTTTATTGAAATATGTTCGAATATAGTTCAGAGCGAGGCCTCGGATACAATAGTGACAAAGTTGTCACTATTGTAGGAGGTGCCGTCACTTTATTTAACCGCCCGGAGTTGACAGAACGCCTGACGACCTAACGTTGGGAGTCACCGAGGGTCGAGTCTTACTGCTGGTTTCCTGTGTGGGAAAAGAAGGTACCGTACCTTGCGGACCCTATGTGATCCACAAGGTACAGTAGTTTTCGGCCGTTAAGCGGCGTGTATAGCTGCAAGGCTCCAAGTTTTATCCTTCACGGGAACACCGAGGTGCATCCGGTACTCATGACGTCGTGGGCCCGGAATCAACACACAACCTTCATTAATGCGGTATAACTAACACAAACTGCACAACATATGTATGTTTAGCCTCTTTATTCAAGGCAAAATAAACAAAAAGTGCATAAACGGTACTGTAGCACTCAATGTACAATTAGGAGACGCAAGAAGCGGAGCTCTTTGCGTCAAGAAGCAGAGCTCCTTGCGTCAATAAACAGACCTCCTTGGGTCAAGAAGCAGAGCTCCTTGCGTCATTAAGCAGAGCTCTATTATGAACATTGACACAAAACTCAGATAAGGTTCCCGAAGCACAACGGAAGACCTGCACAAGTTATCATATTTAAACCATTCATGATATAAATATTAGAATGGTGTCAATAGAGTTAAAAATTATGAATTGGAAGTAGTGACAAAGTTAATACTGAATGGATGAACTTTATTGTTTAAGAGAGAAAACGAGAGCGTGTCCTGTCAGGTTATTTGATACATTTATATACATGTGCACATCAGTGTATGGAGGTGCACATTGCTACACTATGTATACACAGTCACGTCGGTGAATGGAGGTGCATACAGCTACACTATGTATACACAGTCACGTCGGTGAATGGAGGTGCATACAGCTACACTATGTATACACAGTCACGTCGGTGAATGGAGGTGCATACAGCTACACTATGTATACACAGTCACGTCGGTGAATGGAGGTGCATACAGCTACACTATGTATACACAGTCACGTCGGTGAATGGAGGTGCATACAGCTACACTATCTATACACAGTCACATTACTAACAAAGTGTACACAACTACACTTCTGACGACTGAGTGTTGACATTATAAGACAGGCAGATGACTTAATGTGACGTGAAGAGACGAGACGTTAACGATGACGGGTGTGGGCGTGGCACTCAACACAGTGCCACCATGGAGGTGTGGGCGTGGCACTCAACACAGTGCCACCTTGGAGGTGTGGGCGTGGCACTCAACACAGTGCCACCTTGGAGGTGTGGGCGTGGCACTCAACACAGTGCCACCTTGGAGGTGTGGGCGTGGCACTCAACACAGTGCCACCTTGGAGGTGTGGGCGTGGCACTCAACACAGTGCCACCTTGGAGGTGTGGGCGTGGTACAGAGCCAAAGATGCCAGACCCGTCCACAGACCTGTCAGCATCACATCTCCCAAACTCCTGCAACAGAACTTCACTTTAAGAACAGCATATAATAACAGCATATATAATAATAATAATAATAATAATAATAATAATAATAATAATAATAATAATAATAATAATTTTTATTTAGGTAAGGTACATACATAAAGAGATTTTACAAAGTTTGTTGGCTTTATAGATAGAGCTAGTACATACATTGCCTAAAGCCACTATTACGCAAAGCGTTTCGGGCAGTTGTATCTATGAGTATAAACATCACATTAAATATTAGACGAGTACTATAAGTTATGCACAAACGTAAAACACGAGTCCAACTTACTTCTCTTCTTTATATTGCTTTGTCTCATCTTGTCTGAGGTGGAAGACCGCAGACTCCGGGGACCAAGAACCCTAAAACATATTATAATAACTTTACACTCAAATATGTTTTAGTTTTGAATAAGCCATTAACGCGTTTGTCACATCTACCATCACCATTGTAAATTATGAACACTTATAATTATAATACAGGAAAGTTGCCAGGATAAAACCAATACTCACGTGCGAGTTTTTAAAGCTCATGTCTTCTACAGAGCGTCGAGAGTCATGTCCTTGATAGGAACGGATCATTACAGCCTCCAGCGACTCATCTGAGAGCTTCATACCAAGAGACAACACTCCAGGGACCTTCCTTTGTGTACTCTGAGCCACCGAGTTCCTCCTCCTGTCGGAGCGTATTTCTTCAGTATTCCTCGCGCTAAAATGTTTAGCCGGAGTGGCCCTGCTTGTGGTAATGTACCGGTCATCAGCGGCTGTCCTTGTCTCATGTCGCCTAGCGTCAGTGGCCCTCCTTGTAACAGGACGTGTGTCGGGGGTGGTCTTTGTATCAAGAGTGTTCTCTTCAGCAGCTTTCCTTGTGTCAAGACATACTCCTTCAGTGGCCCTCCTTGTGTCAAGACGAGAGTCACTGCTCCTCCTTGTGTCAAGACGAGCGTCACTGGCCCTCCTTGTGTCAAGACGAGCGTCACTGGCCCTCCTTGCGTCAAGACGAGCGTCACTGCTTCTCCTTGTGTCAAGACGAGCGTCACTGGCCCTCCTTGCGTCAAGACGAGCGTCACTGGTCCTCCTTGCATCAAGACGAGCGTCACTGGCCCTCCTTGCGTCAAGACGAGCGTCACTGGCCCTCCTTGCGTCAAGACGAGCGTCACTGGCCTTCCTTGTGTCAAGACGAGTGTCACTGGTCCTCCTTGCATCAAGACGAGCGTCACTGGCCCTCCTTGCGTCAAGACGAGCGTCACTGGCCTTCCTTGTGTCAAGACGAGTGTCACTGGTCCTCCTTGCATCAAGACGAGCGTCACTGGCCCTCCTTGCGTCAAGACGAGCGTCACTGGCCTTCCTTGTGTCAAGACGAGTGTCACTGGCCCTCCTTGCGTCAAAACGAGCGTCACTGGTCCTCCTTGTATCAAAACGAGCGTCACTGGCCCTCCTTGCGTCAAGACGAGCGTCACTGGCCCTCCTTGCGTCAAGACGAGCGTCACTGGTCCTCCTTGCATCAAGACGAGCGTCACTGGCCCTCCTTGCGTCAAGACGAGCGTCACTGCTTCTCCTTGTGTCAAGACGAGCGTCACTGGCCCTCCTTGCGTCAAGACGAGCGTCACTGGTCCTCCTTGCATCAAGACGAGCGTCACTGGCCCTCCTTGCGTCAAAACGAGCGTCACTGGCCCTCCTCGCGTCAAGACGAGCGTCACTGGCCCTCCTTGTGTCAAGACGTGCATCACTGGCCCTCCTTGCGTCAAGACGAGCGTCACTGGCCCTCCTTGCGTCAAGACGAGCGTCACTGCTCCTCCTTGCGTCAAGACGAGCGTCACTGCTCCTTCTTGCATCAAGACGAGCGTCACTGGCCCTTCTTGCGTCAAGACGAGAGTCACTGCTCCTCCTTGCGTCAAGACGAGCGTCACTGGCCCTCCTTGTGTCAAGACTTGCGTCACTGCTCCTTCTTGCATCAAGACGAGCGTCACTGGCCCTCCTTGTGTCAAGACTAGCGTCACTGCTCCTTCTTGCATCAAGACGAGCGTCACTGCTCCTCCTTGCGTCAAGACGAGCGTCACTGCTCCTTCTTGCATCAAGACGAGCGTCACTGGCCCTCCTTGTGTCAAGACGAGCGTCACTGCTCCTCCTTGCGTCAAGACGAGCGTCACTGGCCCTCCTTGTGTCAAGACTAGCGTCACTGCTCCTTCTTGCATCAAGACGAGCGTCACTGGCCCTCCTTGTGTCAAGACGAGCGTCACTGCTCCTCCTTGCGTCAAGACGAGCGTCACTGGCCCTCTTTGTGTCAAGACGAGCGTCACTGGCCCTCCTTGTGTCAAGACGAGCGTCACTGCTCCTCCTTGCGTCAAGACGAGCGTCACTGGCCCTCTTTGTGTCAAGACGAGCGTCACTGCTCCTCCTTGCGTCAAGACGAGCGTCACTGGCCCTCCTTGTGTCAAGGCTGGAGCCACTGGCCCCCCTTGTGTCAAGACGTGCGTCACTGGCTTTCCTTGCGTCAAGACGAGCGTCACTGGCCCTCCTTGTGTCAAGACGAGCGTCACTGGCCCTCCTTGTGTCAAGACGAGCGTCACTGACTTTCCTTGCGTCAAGACGAGCGTCACTGGCCCTCCTTGTGTCAAGACGTGCGTCACTGGCTTTCCTTGCGTCAAGACGAGCGTCACTGGCCCTCCTTGTGTCAAGACGAGCGTCACTGGCCCTCCTTCTGTCAAGACGAGCGTCACTGACTTTCCTTGCGTCAAGACGTGCGTCACTGGCTTTGCTTGCGTCAAGACGAGCGTCACTGGCTTTGCTTGCGTCAAGACGAGCGTCACTGGCCCTCCTTGTGTCAAGACGAGCGTCACTGGCCCTCCTTGTGTCAAGACGAGCGTCACTGACTTTCCTTGCGTCAAGACGAGCGTCACTGGCCCTCCTTGTGTCAAGACGTGCGTCACTGGCTTTCCTTGTGTCAAGACGAGCGTCACTGGCCCTCCTTGTGTCAAGACGAGCGTCACTGGCCCTCCTAGTGTCAAGACGAGCGTCACTGGCCCTCCTTGCGTCAAGACGAGCGTCACTGGCCCTCCTTGTGTCAAGACGTGCGTCACTGGCTTTCCTTGTGTCAAGACGAGCGTCACTGGCCCTCCTAGTGTCAAGACGAGCGTTACTGGCCCTCCTTGCGTCAAGACGAGCGTCACTGACCCTCCTTGTGTCAAGACATGCGTCACTGGCCCTCCTTGTGTCAAGACGAGCGTCACTGGTCCTCCTTGCGTCAAGACTGGAGTCACTGACCCTCCTTGCGTCAAGACTGGAGTCACTGACCCTCCTTGCGTCAAGACTGGAGTCACTGACCCTCCTTGCGTCAAGACTGGAGTCACTGACCCTCCTTGTGTCAAGACTGGAGCCACTGACCCTCCTTGTGTCAAGACGAGCGTCACTGGTCCTCATTGTGTCAAGACGAGTGTCACTGGCCCTCCTTGTGTCAAGACGAGCGTCACTGGCCTTCCTTGTGTCAAGACTGGAGTCACGGACCCTCCTTGTGTCAAGACTGGAGTCACGGACCCTCCTTGTGTCAAGACGAGCGTCACTGATCCTCCTTGTGTCAAGACTGGAGTCACTGACCCTCCTTGTGTCAAGACGAGCGTCACTGACCCTCTTTGTGTCAAGACGAGCGTCACTGGCCCTCCTTGTGTCAGGTAGCATAGCTTCAGTGGACCTCTTCCTGTGAAGATAAGTTGCTTCAGGAGTCCTCGTGTCCAGGCGTGTACTGTCTTGTCGGGTATCTAGTCGTTCCTGCCTGGCTTTATGGGAAAAGAGTTGTCTCTCATCTGATCGGGCATTAGTGCCCCGACTGTCTGCTAGTTGGACGTTAACTCGACGACTCTCGACAACTTTGGCGTCAACTCGACGACCTTCAACTAGTCGGGCGTCTCCTCGACGATGTTTAACAAGTCTGGAATCAAGTCGTCGATGCTCAGCTAGTCTGGCGTCAACTCGTCGACCTTCATCTAGTCTGGCGTCAACTCTACGACCCTCAACTAGTCTGGCGTCAACTCTTCGACCCTCAACTAGTCTGGCGTCAACTCTACGACCCTCAGCTAGTCGGGCATCATGTCTTCGACTTTCAGTATGACGAGACTCGACTTGCTGTCGACCTTCAGTTCGTCGTTGCTTAACAAGTCGATGACCAAGCCATGGAGCTTGAGGACGAGTTCCAACATGGTCCCCACGAAGGCCTTCAGACAGGTCCTCCGACTTCCTTGTGTGCTGGAGGCGTCCAGGGCTCAAGTCACGAAGAGTTTGGCCGCCATCAGAGTTGAGGAAAACTCGGCCATCTTGGTCCTCGTGGGTTAGAGAGACGACGCCAGACAGCCTGCGAGAAACACGGGCCACGAAGGCGTTAAGAACAGTGTATAATGGTGGAGCATCTGGGCTCCAAGGTGATATTTATATTATTAGTTTTGTTAGCAAAGGCGGAGTGCTCATAGGGAGAGTCATGACACTTAAGATGAATACTGGAGTAGACGAGATGTGTAGAGATGATGAGAGTACTCACAGTGTGGGGTGTAGAGGTGGGAGAGTACTCACAGTGTGGGGTGTAGAGGGGGAGAGTACTCACAGTGTGGGGTGTAGAGGTGGGAGAGTACTCACAGTGTGGGGTGTAGAGGGGGAGAGTACTCACAGTGTGGGGTGTGGAGGGGGAGAGTACTCACAGTGTGGGGTGTAGAGGGGGGAGAGTACTCACAGTGTGGGGTGTAGAGGGGGGAGAGTACTCACAGTGTGGGGTGTAGAGGGGGGAGAGTACTCACAGTGTGGGGTGTAGAGGGGGAGAGTACTCACAGTGTGGGGTGTAGAGGGAGGACCTGGTGGCCAGGAAGGTCATGTCTGAGGCCACAAGAAAGCTGGACCAAAGAGACGCCGCTGACGACCACCAGTAGCAGGGCTGCCCCACCCACACGCTCCCTTACCATCACCAGTGGCACCTGTAACAACCACAACACTACAACAATGCACACATTACAGCCATGCAATATTGCAACCATGCACTCATTACAACCATGTACTCATTGCAACCAAGCCATATTACAACCATGCCATATTGCAACCATGCACATATTTCTGCTAAACTCAGAAGTTAACTTCAGAAATATTGGGAGAACGGATACTACGGCAATTATCACAGTCAAAGTTAATTCATAGCGTCTTAACACTCGCTCGTGACCCCAGACTCAACAAGGTTGACCTCGACCACTTACTAATATCTTACAGGAACACTACAGACGCGGGAACCTTCTCAATTCCTCTTAACTGTTTCTTTCTCCTGCATCCAGAGGTTTCCTTATGTATAAGGCGCCAGCACTCTCTCCCTAAACTGACACTCAATTCATTGAATAACTAACTGGGTAAAAAATAAAATACAATAATGTTGTATGAAACTTGAGGCAAATGTTGCCAAGGTCAGAATACATCGTGGAAGTGTTGAAGTTGTCTGACCATAACACTCTTCCTCCTCCTGCCTCTCACTGGACACATCCTTCCAGGTCTTCACTTTCCGTGACCTTATTCCCGTCCAGCTCCTTGTCTTGGTAACTAAGTAGTCGGCCACATTAACAAGAGCTGCTCGTTGTCTGACGCCCCGAGCACATCCGGAGAGCCATGATTGGACCGTTGGTTATGATAGAGGTTCCAAGCACTTATCAAATAACTGCAGAACCTCTTTCAACAGGGCAGAATTAATACACTCATACTGTAAGGCCTTTCCACACAGAGCAAACAGACACACACACATCTCTCAGGCGCTAACACAACAACAACTTCTCAATGAAATGCCAATAACAGTAAAAATGCCTCCTTTACCTCGAAACAATTAATCAAATTAAAGCCAGAGAACAGTGTCTTGGACGTACCTTAATTTTGGCGATGAAGAGTTACGACCCAAATTGTCAGCAACTGAGAGTTTCCAGGAAGGATCTGCCAGAATTCTCGCCGGCAGGTCCTTATATACCCTCCAGGAGCCCTCGGCCGGAGGCGGGTGGCCAATAGCAAGCCTCCAAGCCCTTGACGTCACTTATAGATTTTTAGCTTTTTTTTTAACTTCATGATAAGTATTTTGTTTGGTTGTAATTTACTCGTTCTCGATACTTATTGATTTGGTTCTTACTGCCAGTGACGGCTGGTTTATTGTGCACCCCATACTCATGCTGTGAGTGGTAGTTTATTGTGCACCCCATACTCCTCCTGTGAGGGGTAGTTTATTGTGCACCCCATACTCATCCTGTGAGAGGAAGTCTCTCCATCTCTGTCCAAAATTGTTCTTTTGAAGGCGACGCCTCCATACTGTGATTCAGTAGCCCAGCTGGGTGTATACCATACACTTGAGTGTATACCATACACTTGGGTGTATACCATACACTTGGGTGTATACCATACACTTGGGTGTATACCATACACTTGGGTGTATACCATACACTTGGATGTATACCATACACTTGGGTGTACACCATACACTTATACAGTTGGAGAGCCACTTTATTTGCCTACAAGTCGAAGGTTCTTCCCATTATTCCTAAAGTTTGGTTGAATATTTTTACTGCAGCTCCGACTGTGTGTGTATATTTATGTTTGTAGGTTAGCTTAGCATTTTAAAATAACTACAAACACCTTTTGTGGTTGATTGTTCAATAAATCACTGAATTATATGTTTAACAGATCCCTAATCCTGTTCATGGAGGACAGAAGAAAATGTATATATGCTAGTTAGCATTGTAAATGTGTGGCCATGTTTGTGGTAAGAAAAAAATTGTCATTGTCATTGATAACATACATACATTTTAAGATAAATCATATACAACTTTTATAAAGCTATATTTCTTAATAACTATGATTTAATCAGGGCTGCATTCGGCTCCTTCCCAATCTAAATTACAAGAAAATTATACAGCAATATAATAAATATACGTCTTTAAAGAAAATATTGTATTAAGTCCCATGGAATAAGACTTAGAAACCATTATTACAAGAAGAGACTGTACAGTTAAGTTAGTTCTCTCACACGGCACAACTCCCATGACTGTCAAACGAAATCATTACTTAACGTTAAAACGTAAAATGAAATCTTACCAGAATATATAATAATTGCTCAAATATAAACAATAAAGTTGCAAGGACTTTATTTTATCAGTAACCAATGGCTATAATACTGAGGGTAAAGCTCTATTAGTAAAGGCCCCTAACTCTACTTGACTCTACCTGACTCTTACCTCCACATTGCATAGCGTGAAGGCTTGTGGTGCGTTAGCTTCGGGAGTATATATGACGAAGCTCATACGTCGTTGTGGTGGTGTACTTTAATTAACAACTGTGTAACCAGCTTCACAATATTGTCACCTTCTTAGCTAAACGAACATTAGTGGTTCAGGTCCGGAACCCATTGTGTGCCTCTGTATATGAGATGAATTACGATATTAGAGGTGTGATCAGAGGCGAGATTGGGGCGGGGCGATGAGACGGTGTCAACATGCTAGCAGTGTTCCCCAGGAGGATCTCAGATGTTGACAGGGAGAACACACATCCACTACGGTGAGCCCGTAGTGGACTTACCTGGCACAGGAGCGGGGCTGTAACTATTAGGTTCTGTTAGCGATTATTTGTATTTGAAGTACGTGGGTGAAGCATTTATAGCAACCCGTCCTCGACTCAAGTTCATTACATACAGCGGTCGACCCCCCCCCCCTCCCACAGACGCATTCATAAATTTTTACATGCTGTTCATTCAAAACGGGAATGTTCTCAAATATAAATTAATATTATAATATATTAGCATATTGTACCTATATAGTCATAAGTTAGGTTAGGTGTTTAGGTTCTGTTGGCGATTATTTGTATTTGTAGTACGTGGGTGAAGCATTTACGGCGTTGTGGTTTGAACAAAATTTGTCAGTGAAGCACTTGTTCCGGAAGTGTTCGGACGGCATGAGTTGTGAATCGTGTGTAAACAGTTTTTCATCCATAAACAGGGGTTTGGCGGGTGCCTTATTGCCAACGTTTACCAGTGTTTTATTATGTTGACAAGTAATAAAACACTGGTAAACGTTGACAATAAAACACTGACAAATAAGTTTTTTTTTTTACATTTGACAGACATCATTATTTATTATTTCTTTTAGTTGTTCTTAACTTTCATGACAAACGTGTTTATTTTTTGTCTCTAATATTTGCCTCTCAAGCTGTACATATGTGAGTTATGTGGTGGAGAAAAGAGACGAAGGGGAACCACGACAATGAAATACAGAATACCAATAAAAAAGAAGAGATTATGGAGTGTGTCTCTTTCCCAGAAGTGAAGAATTGGGGGACATGGCTGATAAAGAAAGGAACAAGAGCAACAAGGAGCTCAGCTGGTGTATTACGAGGGGGGGGGGAAGGGGGGAGGGAGAGAGAGATGGAACGCGTTCCAATTGTTCCTGTGATGACCAGGCGTTCTTTCCCCGCTCACTTGTAAACTGTTAGGATTGGGTAGTAATGGCGGCAGCCTCACCACAGCTGGGCCGCTCCCTGGTGACCCCCTGTCTTCATAGTTTGTCCCTCAGCACCCTTGTTTAGCTTGTCACTCTGCGTCCCCCCCCCCCCCTGTTCAGACTGTCACCGGCACTACTGTCCAGCCTGTCACTCGGTACCATTGTCCAGACTGTCACCCGGCACCTCCTGTCTAACCTATCACCCGGTAACTCTGTCCCCCCCAGCATTTTTGTAAAGCCTGTGACTGTACCTCCCAGGGGTACTGTTTCCAGTACCCCTGCCTAGTCTGTCATCCAACGTCCATGGCAAGCCTGTCCCTAGAGGTCAAATGCAGCCCGTCACTCGATACCCCTGTTCAGTCTGTTCCCAACCACCTCTGTCCAGCCTGTCATCCAGCACGCCCGTCGAACCTGTCACCCAATACCCCTGTCGAACCTGTCACCCAGCAGCACTACCTGGCCTGCACCTCAGCACCAGTGCTCACTAAGCAGCCCTGAATGTTAGCCCAGACTGTGAGAGCCTGCACCACCGCGAGTCCCATGGTTTTCTGGGGCCCCGCCTTCAATCCCCTCGTATATTTGCCAGCTGCAAATTAATTTTTCTCTTCAATACTTTCGCTCTTCGGATCACATTTCTGAGTGAGAACACGAAGCCTCATGAAACGTCCGCTCAACGAGCAGCATCGGAACTTCTTAGGCCTAGCTTTTAAGCGCCATTACGATCTAAATAGCAGAGGATAACACCGTATGTGGCTCCTGGTATGGAGGAGTGTTACATGGGTCGGGCCGTAGAATAGGCGCTGGGCGGGAGCCGAGGGACACCGCTATGATATGTATTGTTGGTGCGGAGTTTTCCAGGGAGTGACCAGGCTGCCTCGGGCTGCTGGTTCCCCAGCGATAAGCCGCCGTCTTGCACTCCAATTTTTCTCCTGCTTCTATCTTCTTGTGCCAGGCATTGCGGGGTGGGGGTGTGTGGGGTGGGGGGAGGTCAGTGTGGCGCCGCGCCTCAGGGGTTTATTAAACGAATACAAGAAAAGTTTCAATTGTAACAAAATAACGAAACTGGACAAAATTTCACTATAAATATAAAGTCATATTTTGTGAAAAATAACTCGTTATGGTGTTAAGTTTTCACATGTTGTGATACAAGACAAATTGAACATGGGAGAAGAATCATAAGAGAGAATGCATAACCCAGGTTAGGTTAGGTTAGGTATACTCCCAGAAGTATACATAACGGTGATGTATAACCCAAACAGCTCCTGGAAGCACAGTAACAGAAGACGTATAACCCAAGGTTATACCTCCTAGGAGTATAGCCTTGGGGTATCAAGGGAAGTATAACCCTCAGAGAGCTCCTACAGTATACAGAACAGATGATATATACTGCTGATATGTTGATGTGATTATCATAATATAAAGATGTTAAGGCAGGTTGGTTTAGATCATTTATTATGCACCCCATA